CTCCTGATAAGTCTGAACTGACTGTGAAGGTCTCCAGAGACGTATGAGTGATATCACTGCTAAAGTTACCATAAGAGTGGTAGTATTTTAGGAGACTAATTCACCTATCAATAACAAGGGATACTGTACAATTTAAGTGGAATAATTGACCATACCAGTTGCCTACCATTGATGAAGATACCAATCAGGGGCTTCCTATGCATCACAGCGTGTAGCAATGAAATGAGCTTTAACTCATTAAGCAGTACAGTTCCTTGAAAACGTACGTGGAAAACACGCAATATAAGGGCTAGTTCTGAGGTCTTCTGCGGTTATCAACCCTGTGCAAAACGAAAAAGATTACGTAAAACAACCGCTTGCATTCTTGCTAGTTATAAGAAATAGTTAAATGTAAAGAATTGTAATGAATCACATCATTGATTCTTTGCTGCATGTTATTTGCAGGTTAATTTGCTGTTGTATTTTGGATATGAGACAGAGTTATTACTGGAGAAGAGATAACAGTAATGACAAATATCGTTACAACCGAAAGCGGTGAAAAATTCACTCTGTTTTTTACTATCCGTAGTCCATTTTCCAATTTTCATCCCTGTCGTTTCGCAATATTTGAAGATGTTGGCAGTGGAAAACCGGAAGAAAGATGGTACTATTCCACTGAACAGTACTACATGTTAGTATTTTATCTCCTTTAAAATATACAAATTTTTTACATGAAATGATATGGTTCTCACTTTCGATTTTTACTGTATTTAGTTGAATTCATTAAAAACTTGACTTTTGAAAAATGACTTGTACATATGTGTTATATGGAATAAAATGGTTTGGTCGTTCGTGTTATGAATTCGTTCGAAGAACCATTAAATTTCTGCTGCAAAGATGTAAACATCGATTGATTAAGCACTGTAAAACCGAATGTCGTGGCGATTCATTTCCATATATTTCTTCCTGTCCATGTCTGGATGAACCTAGTTCATATAACGGGAAGAACTTAATTCTGCTTCAAAAAAATAAAATAAAATAAAAAAAGGAATACCTGGTCAAAAGGTCCTTATAATTTGAAGACGTATGAAACGAAAATAGATTAAATGTTGTTTTTCAGGTATCATAAAGCGCTTTCTGCTGGAGATAGTGAAACAGCGGAGCAAATAGCGAATGAACGGGATGCACGAAAAATCAAAATGTTTTCACGTAATATCCGGAATTTTGAACGCGAAACGTTCGTTAAATTTTACTCAAAAATGATTTTGATCTTAATACCCAATGTATATTAGCATCACAATTGGTATGAGCTAAACTCGTCAGGATATTTGCATATCGTAATTTAGTTTATGCTTTTAGAATGTCTGTAACAGAAAACACATTCTAAAACCTGTTGAAAGTGCTTTTATCAAATTCTGTAGGTAGAATGTTCAGTTGTGCAGACTACATTGTTTATTCAACGACAATGAAATTAATGAAATTCCTTAATGATATCGTTATTACGAAGATTTGAATTAACTTTAACAATTTCAAACTTTATCTTTTGTTTTTAACTTGTCTTTATTATAAATTAGATGGAACAAAATAAGTAGCGATGTGATGAGAAGAGGAAATTTTGCCAAATATACACAGAATCCATTGTTACGGAAGAAGCTGTTTTACACTTACGGTAGTACGCTAGTAGAATGTTCCCCAACAGATCTTGAATGGGGCATCGGTAAGTTTTTTCTTCTGGGAATGTTGATTTTACTTTTTTTAATCAGAGTTTTTATCGGGACGGAAAGCATCCTTGAATTGGGCATACTGTTTCGTATTTTAGGTCTGGACATCAATGAACCGGATGCACTGAGTCCATCAAAATGGAGAGGGAAAAATAAACTCGGTCAAATTTTGACCGAAATCCGTGAAGAGCTTTTATTAAAGCCAGAATATGCGCAGGAGGTTTAGATGATTATCTATTCATATAAATTTCCTTCTAATTTTTCCCATGGACAGATTTACTTTTCCGTAGTTGCATTATTAGTATTAAGCAACTGCAAAATCAAATACGATGACGGGATATCTGTTCCTAATTAGTACCAGTTTTATAATTTTCGAGATATTTAGAAATATACATTTCTAGGTGAGTGATATCTTGTCAATGCTGGAGAATTTTGATAGCTTCAGCCGGCAATTTTTCCTTCCTCCAAAACTTCCAGTTCAGCAGTGCAGCTGTCCTTCATCTAGTGAATATGACAGAGATCACGAGAAAAGACGTAGCCTACCCTCTTCTACGGAAATTGGTCAAATATCTGATGGAAATCGTGATAAACGTTACAGTCTACCATCGTATCCATGTGCGGAACGATCCGAAAACATTCCTGATTCTGATTCTGTAAGTTACATATATATTTCTGACTTCAATATTTTGCATCGCTGAACTCTAAAATATGTCAATTTGCAGCAAAATGTTTCTATTATAAAAGTAGAAAATGGCAGTTCCCCAACACATCGAGAAGGATATTCTCGGCCAGCTCGATTAACTAGGAAACGTAGTCACCATCGTAAGCCAAGTTATGATCGAGATTTTAGACGGCACAGGTGATTTATAAGTTCATATAGTTCTGTGAAATTGATTGATTTCATTGGATTTTTAATTCGTTACTGGCTATAAATCACTTTTCTTTAACGATAGCTCTCAATTAACAAAATTAAGTCTTGAGATGTTTCGAGGGGAAAAATAAGAGGAGAAAGTTTCAGCGACGATTCAAGAGATCGCAGAAGGAATGGTTCTCGATCAGGGAAGAGACGAGATACTTCTAGCAGTAATAGGTCCCGTTGTGGCACGCAGTCTCGCTCTGTCAAGGGTCGTAGTAGTTCTGAAAGCGATCACGAGTCTAGCAGGTTTCTGTATATTATGCTCAACATATTATGCACCGGAAAAAAAGTACAGATGAGAAAACTGCTTATCAGTGATTGTAAAAGGTACAAATCGGGAATGTGTAAAGCATTATAATGAGAGATTGTTGGGAATTTTATGATTTACTTTTCGTTTTACAAAAGAATTTATGATTTCTAAATTTAATAATTTCTTAGATTTTTGAAAAGACAGCGAAGAATTGGGTTAACTGGTGATAACAATCGCTTGACGTCATGTCGACGTGTAAGTCCAATAAGCATTTTATTTCAATCGTTCGTAAGTGGAACTATTGATTTATAAATCAAGTTTGACATCTATTCATTATGGTTATAACTAAGTTGGATATCTATTCATTATAGTTATAACTAAATTTTTTTATAATTGAATTTTATATCATTTATTAGTTAATTGGGTTGTGTTTGTAAAAGCACTAATGTTAACTTCGAAGTCGTGGTTAATCTTGTTGCTGACGCGCACATTTCAGTTCAGTTTGGATCATCCCTTGACTTAGTTATATATTTAAGCACAATAATTGTGATATAAACTCGTCTAGTAGTGAAGAAAGTTCAAGTTCGCTGGGTGAAATTGATGTCGAAGTGGTAAAAAAAGCATTTGAGGATCCTTTCAAAAGTTTGTTGGAAAGACTTCGCAGTAAGAAATGTGGCATGTGGGAGCAATGTAAGTTTTTAAAAATTCATTTATCGGCATTTCTGTTTTGAAATTATTCAGTTTTCAAAAAGTTATCTAAGGATTGAAACATTACTTAGATTGTATGAATTTAGATTTCTGGGTGCATAAATTTGTTTAAGCTTTTATGCTTTAGTAGCAATCATCAAGTATTTTTTAAATCATTTTCGTTTTTTTGATATTTTCTTTTACAGATGCTGCAGAAAGTAGTCATGATTCTAATGGAGCCATCCCAAATGATGATTAATTGAAGTCGTTTCGTCAGTTAATATAATTTTGGTAGAGATAATTTCTAGTTTCTTACCCACGTTATCATTTTTGGCGCTCTTTACCATTAATTCTTTATAGTGAGCATGAGTTTGCCGAAATTTAACAATAATTCCAGATTTATTGTTCGATGCAAAAAATGCAGATGTTCATTCATCAAAAATATTTGCTAAAGATTAACGAATTGTTTTTAATTTAAAGTGTATTTAAAATGCTGTTTTGGCCTTCGACTCTTTCAAAAACTTGGATGATTTCTTCCATTACTGAGCGTGAGTAGATTCTAATATAGATAGGACAAAGACCACTTGAAAACCAGAATTCCACCCATTCTAGTCCGTCTAATTTACTAAGATTAGTTTTTCTTTTATTTTTTTAATCCACTCATGTAGTAGCATAGAATTTTTTTTACTGTACCTTGCTTGTATGCTGCCACACTGCCAGGTCGTTTTCTGTACCTCACCGCAATGCGGTGTTCAGGTCAGTTCTCCTAAAATGTAGTTTATTAAACAGGATATTACTTTTTTTGTCCAAATTACTGTTAAATTCTGGAAAAAATTTTGTATAATTATTGTTGAATTTGAAGAGAAAGTTTTTTTTTTTTATGTAATTTGCTAGTTATAAAAATGTTTATTTGTGCTGCTATAATTGTTTTACGATATGTTTTAGCACAAAAAAGTTTGTCAAGCACTGTGCCTGTTGTAAATCTTTTTAGTTTTACAGTCCATTTTGATGTTCACCTTTTAACAGCTTTCACACCTTTTATTTTGTAAGTTATATATATATATATTTCACGCCGGTGATTCATAAATTTTTTCTTACATTCTAGAGGGTTTAACTATTTTCTTCTATACATCTCACTGATCCATTTTATAATAGATTCTTAATGTGTTGTTTTTCTCTAGTTATCATCATTATAGCATAATAATTAGATAAGGTACTGGTTGATGACTATGGTAATAATAACTAATAATTGACGATGATCTCACGATGTCCTCCCTCCTCAGGCAATTGTTTTTTATTTTCTAAAATCATTTCACACGAATATCCGTACTTTTTGTCATTTTTCATTTTTTTAAACAGTGTATTTCTTTGTTTTATAGTTGCAGCACATGTATATACTGAATAAAAATATGATGGAGGGGTCTTCTTTCATATCAGATTTTTTCTTTCAAATGATATGCTTGTGAGTCGGTTCTTCAATTGGATTATCAGGAAAACGGCATCTTCGACCTTGGCTAAAATGTTTTAAATTCAATTGAAGGTGAGTGGTTGTATATGATTTATAGATGTTTTCTGTAATACTGCGGCGAATGGTTATAAGGAAATAGTTAAAAAATCGACATGTCGGATGGTTTGTTTCCTCATCCGGTAATAGGCGGCAGTGTTGTACATACTTATCACAAACCTATCGGTATACGCGAACGTGTTGGCGTAATGTTGGACTAGGTGTTCGAGCTTCTTGAACGGCAGGATATTTTTATTACCACACTGTACAAACAGCCTTCGTTTCCCGTCTACGAAACCTTCTTGTATCGGCAGATGCCTTAGTTATATATCATTCTCAAGTATGTAAATACTACATTTGCTTCAGCAATATCCTTAAATTTGCAAAACTTTTTGTTTACAAATCTACAGTTTGTCTTCAATAATCACAGCAGTGGAATCCAGGAAAAGGAATTGAAATACATTTTTCCGTGTTCATATGCTTTCTTCGGTTATATGATGATATAAAATACCTGTATTCCAAATCGTTGTTTACGAAAACGATGTTTAGAGAAGCGTAATGTTTCAAATTATCTAGATTGCTGACATCTTCTGGTAGCTGAAGTTCTCTATTTTCGGATTTCTGTTTTAAAGCATAAGGAATGAAGTGATATAGTTTAATCTTATGATTTTATGATCGATTTCACAACTTTATTGCTTAAATATTGAATTTACTAGAATTATCCAAAAATAATTTGATTATCTAATAGGCAAATAATAGAATTATGGTTTCACTTCGTGATATAAACCAAAATTTTGGGGGATCTCTGTTAGTGGAATGGAAGCTGATCTAGATCTTTGTCCAAGATAGAAGCTGAAAATAGAAATATCGATAAAGAAATCATTGTGAACCAATGGCACACGGCATCAGATTTTATTCAGAAATAACCGAATAATGCATTAATGAAAAGTGAAAGAGATAATTAAAGATAGACAAATAGCTTGACCTGTATAGAACTTTCAGTTTCGAAATATTTTCTGGGCACATCTGCGCAGCATTGTTTTTGTGCAGTGGTTTTTGTTGGAAAAGCGATTCACTATTTGATGTTTTCTAATGAATATTTACAGAATAAGGCTTGGATGGTAATAGTTTATATGAAGTATTAATGGCTTGATTGTAAAATGAATTGCAGTTAAAGAAGATAAAAGTAAAAATGAACGATTACGATTGACTTTTCCAGCAAATCACCATATTTTATAGAAATGTTGTCATACTGATTATTCATGTGTCCACTGTGCCGATCATTGGGTTGACTATATTCATCATTGATTTGATTGTGTAGATCACTTTGATGAAATTTTAATCAAAGATTTACCTTTTTATAGTTATTTGTATTCTTAATGATAACAGTTTAGTATGAAAAGGTGATGGAAATTAAGAATATTTCATTTTCTTTTATATCTTAATGTAGGCAATTACATATTTAAAAATTAAACAGAAATTTGTTAGAATCAATTTGCATATTATTTAATGTGAGCAGAATGTTTCTTACCTACTAACTGCATAGCTTTTTTTTGACTTCAAAGTAGTTGAACTTGATGTATTTTTCATCTCCAACATCAATGTTTAGGATGGGTAAAATGAAAATTTCTCTCAAAAAAAAATTGTGATCTGTAACCTTAGACGGAAATTTTTTCTTTGTAATTAACTTTTAAAGGTTAATATCTCATTAGTTTCTGTAAACAGATTTTTTTTTTGCAATTAAATTTAATACCAGATTAGGGGCTTGGCCAACCCAATCAAGTAGTTCAGATATTGGCCATAATGAAGAAATTTTCTTCTTGTCGAATTTCTGAAAATTGCATTGATATTGGAAGATTTCAGACTTGTTTGTAGATATCCACTAAGACCTCTTACGAAAAGAGAACGATATCAAGACATCAATCGGTCTTCGACAGAAACAAATATGATAACAATGATAATCAATAATTAATTATATAAATTCATTTTGCTCGATAGTTCCAAGATAATAAATAGCACTTCAAAAAGAATATTGTTCTTTTTGGTTCCGATTTGTCCGTGTTTTCCAGTTTGCTTAGTTACAGAGTAGTCGTCTGAGAACACTATCAATATGCTACTATTCACTCTCAAGTAAAGCAATTTGATACGACAAAAATTATATATGTTGGAGGCAGTTCTTACTCGACTGTAGTTTTCTTTGCATTTATGGCCATGCTTACAACAAATGACTGATTCATTTGCAAAAAAAGCTGTAAAAGAAGTATTGTCAAATTGACAAGATTTTTCCATTTACTAAATTCAAAATTAATGAAAAGAAAAATTGCTTGTAAAAATACAAGACAGAAAAATAAAAGGTATCATTCACCAGGCTCTGCAGACGGCTGATATTCATCTAAATTAGTTCTGCTATCATAAAGCGGTCTCTAGCCTATTTCGCTTGGTGATACTGTCACTTTACGTTGCTTGCGCCATTCAATCATTATATCCTCTTTCGTCATTTTATCTTAAAAAAGAGAAATTTAATGAACAAATTGAAGAAAAAACTAATAAATCCAACAGTCTCAAAATTAACTAAAAAAAAGAAAATATGAAAGTGCAACTTATATTTTGACAACTCATATATATATATATATATATATATATGTATAAAATAACATTTTCACTCATATAAATCTTTACCTCTTCAGACGACTCTTTAAAGCGACTACCCTCAAAATCAAAAGATGAATCAATGGTGTCATCTCTTCCAGTAATGATTCTTTTATACGTCATAATTTTCAATTGCTAAATGGTAAGCGAGATTTTTTGAAACTTTTTTTTGAAGTGATCAACTTAAGCGCAGTAAAAATACATTTTCATAAAAAGTGAATTAATGAAATATGCGAGTGAAACATGGATAAAAAAGGAATGATGCTAATGAAAGGTAACAATATACTTTAAAAGATGTAATAGAGGATGTTAGCAAATTGTTTTCTTTTTCGAGTAGCTATCTTACTTATATCAAATTACTGATAAAAAAGAAGCTTGAAGAAATATTTGAGAGATACATTAAAAGATTGATTTACATTCTGCGGGAGATCTAATCGTATATAATGTTGGATTATTCTAACTGTTGTATTCCTTTTTAAAGTTATAAAGGAATTTCCCTTATATTTGCTATAAAACTATTGAATTTTAATTGCAATGCACTGGAGAACAAAAAAAATATTTTGAGCAAACTTTTCAAAATGAGGTCCATTATAAACTTTATCAGTCTAGTCCATAAAAAATGGTATTAGGTTATTTGAATCAACCAATTACGACTTATGTTTAATTAATTTAAGAATTGTAAGATGATGTAAAATCAAGGTTGTTTTTGGCAGTATTTAATCGAAGCAAGTTATGTGGAATCAGAAATGTTATAATGGTGCTAAAATATGCAGAAATTAATTGCAAATTACTATTCTTATAGATATTGCTTTTCAGTATTTTCAAAGTGTCGAAAAATGCAGAAAGCATCCATAAATTATTCAAATTCTTATCCAATTTTTTAATTTAAAATGGATTTGATGAATGGCTCAGGTGACAAAAAGTACGAAAGACCAATAAAAATCTTCCTCATAAGTGCAAAAAGTAAATCGGCAAGTTCATACACTTTTAATAATGTACGATAGACAAACATTTTCATATACTTTGTACAAGTATGCAAAGTTATTTTAAAGTAAAAGAATATGTTATGATTGATTACAGAAATGAAAAGAGAAAGTTGAATTCTGGACTAAAATGTGAAATTTAATTAAATTCAAATGATTATGAATTACTTTCTCTTTTCAAAGGATAAACTGGCATTGGTGGATTAAATGGACTGGAACGCAGTGAAGATTTTTTCAGTTCATCAAGTTTCGCAGTAATTTTCTCTTGTTCTGTTGAATTCCTTTTTGATGGAATCGAGAAATTCCTCTTTACTGGGCCAATTTTCTGTTCAGCAACAAGAAAAACTGGAGGGACTAGAGAAGAATTTCGAGTACTGTTCACCAATCTTGCAGATTTCTTATCGAAATGCTGATTGCTGTTTCGTACTGGTACAGTGAGGTCCGTTTCTTCTTCTCCTGGCATTATGGTATTGTTGCTCGTTATCAAATTATCGCATGGTTTCTCTTGCCATCTTGAAAGAGTAGAATCTGCGGATATAGCAGCAGCTGCTTCATTGGTTCCAAAAGGAGCGGAACTTTCTCTTACGGTAGGTGAAGATTTTCTTGGTAGGGAAAACTGAAAATAGTTTCTACAAAAATAACCTAAAATTTGAAACTTACTCAAGAAAACGTATTTTGTTACTCAATGTTAAAATGCCATCTTCCGAAAATAAGCTCACGACACCGATAAATTCAATACATCAGCTGTTAAAAATTTCTGACTATCATTTGATGTTTAAGGAGATTCAAAATATTTGAAGCCCATTAATTAAGTAGAAATACAAACCTTTCTGAGCACTTCTTCTGTACTTAACTCTATTTCCGGAACTGCTTGTTCCAGAGAGATCTTCTTTGGTACTGTTTTCTTTGATTTTGCTTTTCCAAACGTCTCGTCCACATTAGTATCAATCATTTTTGTTTTTGTGGACGCTCTTTTAATCCCTGTCTTTTTTGATGTTGTGATTTTCACTGGATCAACTCTAGAGAAAGATTCGATTGGTTCAGTTGTTTTTCCGAGTGATTTGTTGTTTTTTTCAGTTAAAGGTGCCTTCGATAAACTGCTAGTGACATCAATTGAATCGTTTCCAGAATTTCCAACAATACGAGGTGGTTGTTTTTTTGCGAGTGGTGCTTGCAATGTACTTTCCAAAATGGCAGGTTTCATCGGCTGAAGTTTTCCAGATTGCATTTCTGGCTTAACGACCAGTTTATTAACTTCTTCAGTTTTCTTTTTCGCTTCTGCTTCTTCAGCTGCAGCTACTGCTTGACGCCTCAGTATTCTTCCTTTAATAATATTTCAGTTTCATAAAGATCAACATGATGTAATAATTACACTTAACACTATTTATTCCCAGAAATAATTTTTTTCCATTTACTCGGTTTCATTTTATCTGTCGACTATTTCTAGATTTCCGACAATAATATGACAATAATAAAAGGTAAGATTTATGCTCAAGAAATTGAAATGTCAATATTGCAAAGAGATTCATCCTGTCGTTCTCAGAGCAAAATATATGTAACTGATAGATTCATTGATTTTTAAGTATTCAAACATTCCTCAGTAGATCACCATGAGAAAAAGTTGAACAAGGAAGAAATAGGGAAGAAATAGAGGAGATGTATTAGCGGTCCCTAAAAGGCCTGACATTGATATTCTGCATTACAATCAATTCATATAGTTTTCTAATTACTTTTCATCTTACCAAAACATTTTTTTTAACTGCTAGTAAAAAAGATTACTTATTTCTTGATTTCTAATTAATGCGTTTTCGATTTTATGTCGACCTTCTGGCAATCGAAGATTAATTGATACTTTTGTCAAGCCTCTATTTTGAAATACCGCATCGATGATCTCCTTTTCAGCTGTGGTAGCAAATGTAACACCCTAAACAACAAACATCTAAAGAAGCAAGAAATCGAAGATTCCGAAATTAATGAACGGCTCTGTTAGCATAAAGACTAATAATCTGCCTAATAAATAAGGAGATGGAAAGAAGTTCAGAATATGACTGCTGATTATACATGTCTAAATAATTAGATAGTTCCGCAATACTTCTGAGATCAATATATAAATGCTTTTCATATTTTCAGATTTATCCATTTACAGCTATTAAAGCAGTTGATAGATCAAAATTTAGATCAAAATAACTCTCAAAACAATTTGGTTAGACTTCATAAAGAAATTATATATGTTGAATATTTTTTTCAGAAAAAATCTTTTTAAAAATTATTAGTGAATGAAAAATGAACCTGGTTAACAGCTTTTACTTCTTCAAGTGTCTGATTTACTAAAGCTGCTTTAAACAAACGCGCAAAAAAATCACCACTAAGATAATTTGTTTCCAAATTGATAGATTTTAGTGTAGTATTGCTTGCTACCACATCAAATATAGGCTGTAATGCATATAATTGCTCTTAATTTGCATACTTCCCAAAGTGACTTTTCCCAATTCTGATTTTATGATTTATCAAACAAAGATCAAAGCTTGGAAAAAATGCCAAGTCAAGTCGAGAGTTATTCTATTACACTCAATCTGATTGGAAAGGATTTTAGACACTCTTTAAATCTTGAAATAAGTTATAAATTCAAAAGCCTTAAAATTTTAAACTTGCCTCACAATCGTTATCATACAAACCCATATTGGCGAGTGCTATTTTCTCCAGATGTGTATTATTTTTTATTGCAGATAAAAGTCGTTTCAGCTGTGGAATGGGTGTGCGCTGTAACATAATTGTCAGCTTACTAATTTTTAGATCTTCATAAAATTAGTTTTAGACATTAAGAATTTAATTTGCTTGTTGATCGTAAAAAATGTTTTAAGCAAAAAAAAAAAAGTATGTTGAAGACTTTAAGAGCAAATTATAAGAAAGCTTTGCGTCATTTGGTTCAATTATGCCGCATAAATTCTTCGAACTCTCTGAACTATAAAACTAGTAATTTAGAAAATTTATAAATAAATTAACGCAAAACCTCACTTTCATGTTGTTTAAATTAACTTGTTTCAGTTTTGGATTATCCATTTGTAACTGCTGTATTGACCAGTCCACATCAGTGTCATTATCTGGCTCCATAGGCCTGGTTTGTGGAGGTAATGAAGATTTGATAGGGCCTTTATACGTGCTGCAACCCATAATTTGTTCCGCTTCTTCCCAACTTATTATACGATTATCACTCATCATCTCTGTAAATGAACAAATAATAAAATACACTGTTCAATTTCCCAATTATTCCTACAAAAAAATAAAATTGGCTAAAATAATATGGAAGATAAGGAAGTAGAGCTATAGCACAAACATAAAAATGCATGGGACAGTAAAGAAAATTTATTTCCGAGGACTTGAATTAAACCAATTCCGAACAAATTCAGTTTTCGATCAATTGCTCATATTCATTTAATCTATCAAAAAAATCAGGTGGGGAAATTTTTAGTTTAAAGAAAAAAGAAAAAGTCTCTTAGTAAAAATCACTTGTGAAACAAGCCCCTACTAGATAGTTCACTTTACTATGTATTAGTGAGAAAGTAAATTATGAGTAACTTTTGAAAACTTAACACTGAATAATTCGATGGCATAAAGTAATTTTCACTTTCATCAAAATAAACAATTTACTCAATAATTCTTTCACTTCATCGTTCTGTTCTTGCTCTCCAAGGGCTTGAATTGCATCCATTAAATCGGCATCCGTCATCATATCGTTTCGCTGAGACATCGTCATATTTACACTACAAAATTATTTTCCAAGGATATGAAAACATTAAATTGTTCGCAACATTTCCGAGCAATTTCTAGTTTTTAGAATACTTTACAAAAATTGCTATTATGATTTACAGCTGAGACATATCGGGAAATAGTAGATCAATAAAACATCATTGTTGTGGTAAACAACTATTTTCTATGTTACACAACCATGTTTTGGACAAATGTTTAAGGGAATGAATGAATATAAGCACAAATGCGCCTTAGCAACTAGAAAAATTATTTTAAATGTTATTATATTAGCAAAATTATTGTTAAGGTAAGGACTGTTATTTGGTACAATAGATCTCCAAAAACTAATTAATGTAACATCTAAACGGAGATGAGCTTTGGTAGATCTAAACAAGTCAAAAGTCCAAAAAATATTCTCATGAAAGTCGGTTCAGCTTGCGATCCTCGTGAAAATTTCAGGTACTTAACTTATTTTTTGTTTCGTTATTGATATTGCAGATTCAGATAAATTATCAAGAAAATGCTTCCATAATTTTTATATAAATGGTAGAGCCATCTCTATCAAAACTTTATAAAAACTCTTGCAAATAACAAATAATTCATCGATTCTTATATGTTTTTATCAGTTAAAATATTTGTAATGGAAAATAATGCAAGAACTGACCTGACTAATCAACAGAAATGTTTTCAATGAAAAAACACAAAAAAGATACTCAATGTAGAGAAGTGGAATACAGCTTTTCATTCAACTTCAAACACTGCTACCTATCATGCTCCTATCAGCTATCTATCACCTAATGAATATTTTAGCTAATTTTTAATGTTATGTCGGCAAATTGGATGATCCTTAAGAACGATCCTTACTTAGGAGAAGTTTCTTAATTGTACTGCTCAATGGTATACAATATAGTTCAATGAATAAGCAGTGAAATATGTATCGATGGATGTTAGGGACAGTGTTTGTCTATCTGACTAAAATCAATATCTGAACCAGAAAGTTTAAAGAGAACAATATGAAAGCTAAAAAGCTAGAGGTGGAAGAAGCAGATTGGACTAAAGGATAAGGTTCATTTTGAACACTTTGTTTTCTAGAAAATGAATAAACTCTAGTGGGCATGACGTGTTGTGCAAATGGATTTCTTCAAAAAATATATCTGAAGTTAATGCCAGTGAACTTATGGCATAAAATCATCTCATTAAACTTTTATTCCACATGTACAATTTTGCATGTATTGCATACAAATCTGAACGGTTTAAGATAATATAATTTACAAACAGCTACTTTGTTTGGCTAGATATCTTTCATTTGCATATCATTAGTCCAAGAGAGAATAATAATGATAAAATCTTCATTTCGATAGATTTACTCTGGCAGAATAAGTTTTTGCCTTGCTGTCAACCTGTCTTTCTTCTCATTTTAAAGGCAAGTAATTAAGGTGACTTCGAAATGCAAATGCTACTTGTTGTCCAAATCTTAAGTGAAAGAATCGATATATTTCTGATATTCATCTAATCTTTTTTATTGAAAAAGATTAGGTAATTCTAAGTTTGAAAATAAAGCCTTAACAAAGATATCATAGAAACAGGCATGGTATTTATTTTTTCTCTAATAATAAATTATCGATCAGTTGTGTTTTTACAGAGATTAATAGTTGAGATATAATGGAACGAAAAATAGAAGGTTAAACACTTGCAAAAAGTGCACAAAACTGGGTCGAGATAAGGGAAATGTCTTTAAACAGAATAAGTTTGACAATTGTTGTCAAATAAACTTGACAAAAGAATTCAGTAATTGACCGTAAGTACTGAGTATTATATACTGGAGTGACAAATGAAGTGCATCTCCCTACAGGATACAATGTTTCCTCATCTCAAAAGTTCCGACATTTCTTACTGCTAATGCTAATTTATCAGGAATCACAACTTTCTACGTTCATTTTCCTATTGATCCTTCTTGTTATCTTCTATTCCATATCGGTGAGATTAATCACTTAAAATTGATCGCAGCACGAAATTAGAAATCTTAATCAGTTTATCAATCCGTCAACTGCAATAAGCACAGACTAAATGATCAAACATGCATAATTGGCAAAACATAATTTAGTTTGGAAAATTATCAAATATTAAAGATTAGTATTCAAACAACGCTATAAAGGCACTTCTCGTAGCGACGATCTTTTCGGCCCTATCTTTCTTTTCTCTCGTCTTGAAGACTCTTGCTTTGTTTTAAATTATTTAGTTATTAATGCAGTTATAGGACAGACACTGTAGTAGAACAGCCAGAGTAGCTCACTTGATCACTTCATAGGTCTGTATTGTCAAAGAACAGCTCGATCGCAATAAAATAATTCAAATGTTGAAAATGACCATGCTATCTTCGAATATCTGAAAAGCCAATGGCCAATTCATTCGTTGAGTTTTGGATAGATGGTTAGAGGAAATCGCGGTATTTGTTATCATAAGCCTTCTTATCCTATTGTACATAAGCAAACTTCACTATAAAAGGTTCAAAGTAAGAACTTAGTCATAAATTAACCAGCAGTGAACGTATTCCAACAAAACAAACAAATGAGTTTGGGTGAAGCACATGTGACGATAATACTTCTTCAATTGATATACAATCACTGGATTTAAATCCGGTTGAAATACAAATGTATATTATACAAAATTTGTGTATAGTAGTTTAAATTATGTACCGCTGACAGTAGTATGAAACTAAAATGAAGACTGGGTTTCAGCGAAAGACGAGAAGTTGGAGCGCTCTGCTGAATTGGAGTCGCTTTTCTGAATAGATGATTGCTTACTCTACTTACTACTTCCTCCACAATTCATTTTATTAATTTCGGATTTTTGGGAAAGTTTGAAAGAAGCACAAAAATATACATATATATATGAACAACGGTTTTCTTCGACTTCTGCTCGCAGATAATGAATTGCTGCCCCGAAACAAAGAAGCCATTCGGAAAATTTTTGTTATTTGAAGATTAACTGTTAAATGCATTCAAATCAAACAAAATTAAATGTACAATTAATTAATCAATGGATTGAACAAATTTCTCTCTACACACAAACCTAATTGCTGAATTTCAGTTGTTTAATGAAGATGTGTAAATCATCTCTGAACTTTTTACCGCAAGCCAAACCGTGAACTAAGCGGAAAACGAAATCTAATAAATGAAATTAACAATTATTATAAACATCTTGGTCCTTTTTATCATTGAAGATGAAATATCTGGGAAAGAATTGTAACATTAAACTGTTTTTATCGTCAACACAAAGCGAAAATATTCACTAAAGAATACTTTTTAAAATAAGATGGACTGGATGCTTTTAAAAGAATTGACTACCCTACATGTAAACATTAATTAAATACGAATTAAGCAAACAAGCGATTTAGTCAGGTAACTTACCTTTATTATCAAATAGTTCATTATGATAATTTGTGTATGTGCGATACGGAACAAAAGTTGGTACTATGTGCAAACTTCTTCTGTTCAGTTTGCTTTGCATCAATTTAGAAAAACGCTAATGCATTCAAAACACATTGTCGAATTTGTATTGATGAAGAAGCTTAGCAGGAAAGAAACGAAAGTAGAGGATTGGTAAACAAAAGTAAGAGAATATCACTGAAGAAGCTGGTTTATGATACATGATCTGAAAATTTTCAAAAACTTTGTGAGTTTGTTGAAGAAGAAAATCATTTAGAACAGCATTCTTCAGCTCCGTTAGTGTCAAAAAAAAAAAAAATGGAAACTAAAATACTGTTTTCTATCAAATGGGAAAAAGTAAAAACGAAAAAATTAAGCAATCAAAATTGAAGTTGATGGCATAATTTCAGTTTAGTAAAATTATTGAAAAAGAAAGTGAGACAGACGGCGAGACAAGTTATGGGCAGCTGTAAATTTACAAAAAAAAATTGAAATTTTTAGAAAAGCTAATGAAATTAAAAGAAGCATGAAGCTGGGGAGAAAACAAACTCAAAAAACAAGGAAAAAAGAGCGAAAGATGCTTTTTAAATGTCCACAAATCATTGGCAAGAAGAGAAGCCATTGCTTCCACATTTAAGTGGTGAAATGAATGAAGGTGAAGGTGATCCAGCTATGCCGTATCGCACAACTCGAACTCCACCTTCTTCGCTGTTTCCCGTTTAGTCTCGAAAATTCACTTTACAACAATTCACCTTAAGTACTCTTGATCTCTCGTTCTAAACACAGTGAATACTATGAAAATCAACAAGAAGTTCAGTACACTAACTTCATTAGTTGATCGTTATTGCTATTTAACTAAAAATCTTTTTTACCTGAACAGCCAGATTTTAAACAACTTATTTTCTTAACAGCCTTCCGGACTTGAAAATTTCAGGAAGGATATCTGGAAGAGAAATTGCTCGCTAACTCTTTTACTCCTCACACCCATTTGCAAAGCACAAAAATTTTCGTTTACGGTGAAAAAATGAAATCAAATCCGGAAAAATACATGTGAAATACAGAAATATATGTAGGATATATTGAAGATCTCTTCATCCACTTCTTTTTTTTTCATCATTCTATAATCTTGGAGCTACAGAATTCCTCCTTGATCATACGAACAAAAATGTTTCGCAACTTCCACAGCCAAAATCAACCAGCAATGTTTGCTTTGCAGTGTGTTATAAATGCAACGGTAAAGTCCGTTGGTAGATTTACATATGTTAAAATTCTTACATTGAAGTAGTACTGGGCAGTAAACATTTCAATCCTATCTATGTACTCATCTCAAACTGCACTCTTTCATATATCACGCAGACCTACTAATGTATGTGTTCAAAAGTCGAAGATAATTGCAGAGTCAACGAAGGTTTGCACTTCAAGATTACAGTAAAATCTAAGTCAACATGGAAGGATGTGATCAACGAATAGATTATTCATTGTAAAATTTCTGCATGGTTATAAACTGGCTCTCAAGAGATTGACGTTCTTCATACAACATCCCTTTGAATGCTTCAACGATGTAATTATTCATTAACAAAAAATTTCCATTATTGAAATTTCCAGGCTGATGAAATTTCCTTGTTATAAACAAGGAAATTGTATATATATATAAGCAAGCATTGTATATATATATATACAAGCAATAAAATTTTTCTTGGAAACGAACGACTAATACTCAAATAATGTAGAAATCGAGAAAAAACATATCAGTAGTTTATCAATTTCCTAATAATCGGACTGTATTTTGTATATACAACGCTTTTGCTATCACTAATTCTAGTCACTTCACCACATCACATTTCTCGATGGTAAGTATACAGCGTTACTTACAATGTCAGGATTTTTTCCACTGGATGCAAAAATCACAAGAAAAATACCTGATAATGACAGGCACATTGAATTAAATTTTCTTTGAAAAACTTTTTCTCAGCTACCTTGCACTTTGCCGAATCCGGCTTCCCAATCATAGGGAAATTCTTGCACCTGTAGCACCGATATTGCTTTCCTCATTAGCTAAAAAAAATTTGCAATAAAACTAATCGGATAAAACAGTTTTCCAGCGATTCATTTTTTTTTTTTTAAATAACTTCAAATTCGAAGGTAATCTCTTTTGTCTTCTGGATTACATCTTGTTGTTGAGGTACTTTTAAAATCGTTTTGATAAAAAGAGAAATTCAAAGTTAACGTCCTTCAGCAAACATTCAATATCTCATAAATAAATATACCCTACCTTGTAAATTTTTTCATAATTTGGATTATCGTAAAACCGTAAGCTATCAATGTAATGTAAAATTTCGACATACTCTCGCGGACAACCACCCATAAGCTCCTGTAGACCCATTTCAAAACGACATCGCTCCTGTAACATAAAACACTAGGCATATTGATAACATTCAGCTGATATTGTAATAAGATAAGAGTGAAGCTAAGCTAACTAGCAAATCTCATGCGATCAGTCTAATTTTAATGTTCAATCACCCCAAAAAACATTAAATAATGAATGATAAGAAGAGTAGATTCTCTTAGGTCTATTTATGTTTTATATCTTATCAATATTATCCTCTCACAAAGAAATTCAATTTTTATCAGAAATTCAATTTCTGAATTTTGGAAAATCTGTGTTTACTTTAAAATTTAGTCACTAGTTTCGATATATATCAACGATGTAACGATGATCACTAAAGCTTCTTCTCTCCTTATTTTTTAAAACGCACAAATGCTGATGAGTATAATACTTTAAACATTGCTACTTCATCCTTTTTATCGTCTAACGAACGCCACGGAAGTGCACCACGTGTAATTTCAATTTGCTGATAGAGCCAGGATTCAATATCATCCTTGCGACATGTTTCACGTCGTATGTGACACGATAACGATGCGTATCGAATCGTACCACGGAATCCAGCTATCTGTATAATTCAATTTTATGCGATTCTCAATGGTCTCAACTGATTAATTTATGAGGATTGGTAGTGTACAGATATGCATTAGACATGCATGTAATGACATTTTCTCAATTTCCTTAAAGACGAATTTATTGCATCTCCAATGGACAGTGAATAACTAGCTTTATTCACAATGTTTCTTAGATAAATCATTTAATTGTGCATATCATTATCATTTTAATTTTAACACTTTACTTCCTCATATTTGCCATTAATCACACTGTAGTGCACCACTAATTGCAGTAACTTGCATGAAAGCTTGAAATTCGTGAAAATGATACCAAAAAGTGTCGAAAGTTTTAATCAGTTTAATATAATGAAATAGAGCAGATAAACTAATTAAATATAATGTTTGTCATATCCTAAAGTAAATTAAATTTCCTGCAAATCGAGCGAGAAGGTCACGTTAGGCTTAGGCTTACTGATTTCACAAAATGAACAACAAATATCGTCTTCGACTGTTTTATTTTCTTTTTCTTTTGCAACACATTCACACACTTTAAATTCTAGCAATTGATAGATAGAACAACAAACATAAAAGTCTATTAAAGTATTGTGTAGATGGTTCCCGCTATCACTCATATGCTACCTTTTCCTAATTCTGTATAAATCTTTTAAGCATTTTCATTGGAAGATTTAGTAAATGATATGTACGTCAGAAATGCTTTTTTTTTGTCCTATCAGCTGTTCTATCACATTTCTAAATATGGTATAATGTGTCGTGGAGGAAAGGAATGCCAAAATTCGCTTGCATTATCATCAATTTGATTTGCAAAGGGGCCATTGCTGGACTATTCACGTGAAGAGTTGATATTGATTCAAAGTGACCTGTTTTTACTGCCCTAAGGAATGTAAAAGCTTACGCTTCATGCAGCTCACCATCCTCTCTGGCCTTAAACGTAAGCACGCTTCTTTATACAAACATGATGTCATGTAATGTATTTAGCCTCATCTCATCGCTATCTCTTTTTCTGTTCCCATTCTTTCCATTGGAATATTGTCTAATATTTCTTTTTTTCTTTTCTTCTTCAATTAAAACTTTAGTCATTTTATTGTCGATAAACCCGTAAAAGGAGCAAGTATGCAATTTACTGTTATATTGTGGCTCGCAACTTCTTTTCCCGTATAATCATTGAGGAAGACTTCGCTTAATAATATTGATAAAAAAATAATTGTTTGTACTTGCAATACTGACTACTGTAGTCTTTATTTCTTCTACAAATTTCATATTGTACATCTGATAAAGTTAGCTTGGAATCTTGAATTTGGCCGTTACATATCAAAGTTATTTCACAAACCTTTCTCGGAGGTCGAAACCGTCCATGTTCATCCAAATAGCTTCGGCACATCCCAAAGTCCAATATGTAAATCCGTCGTAATTCATCAAGTTTTTCACGACCCGTTGCGTAATTACTTGGTTTAATATCACTGAAATATTAATTATACTATCACTTTGCCCTTATCTGAGTATCATCTAAGTGATGGGGACTTGAGAAGTCTGATTTTCTTATGTGATAACGATAACTGTAAATAACAGAAATTTTTGCTTGTTCTAGAAATTCAATTGTAAAATATTCGTTTATTAAAAAAAAATTGAATGAGAAATAGTGCTATGAAAAGGAATATTTGTCATACGATAAGACTAATTTCGGATTAAACTATTTTCACACTAAGCTTCAAGTTTTTCGAAAATGCAGAGCGAAAGACCGATGCAAAAATCCAATAGCGTGAAGTTCTTCAATTGCTTCCAAACACTGAATTCCAACAGATAGTGCACAACCCATGGAAAATTTTTGCCCGGGTAACTCTTTCCTTATATCCTTCAAATATAGATGTCGGATATTGAATACGAAGAGGTCGCTGATGAATTAGGAATAGCAAAGGATTTGTTCCCGTAAAGAATATTGTTTGTTATGAGTAATTAATATAAAGGGGTAATCAATTAATTAATATGAATGAGTTGAGATATAGTTGCCAGTATATTGTCAGTCTAGCAGATTAACTTGTATAGTTTTGAAATGATTGCCAGTGAAAGATCGTAATCAAGTTTTATCAGTATTACTGTTATCTTCGATACCTCGGAGACCGGAAAGCTATCTCTTCTAATTTTATAGACATACCTGTAAACAAGGTCCAAGTAGTGTCATCACCAAATATAAGCATTTTTTATAGATTCCTGTATCTTCGCATGTACAGAAATGTTTGCTTTTTCGTTCATTCGCTAATTTAAGCACATAAACTTCCATTTTTAACAACTATAATCATTTATGTCATCAAGAGAGAGAGAGAGAGAGAAACCAATATCAAAAATAATGTGCATTGTAAATATTTCACTATTTTTGTAAACATAATCAGAATACGATCCACAGAAATATATATCAGCAATAAACGTCACCAAAAAACTATTTCATCTTTCTCTAAAGCTAATAAATTTACTTTAACTTTCTCCTTTAAGCTTTCTGTTTTTAGTGCATAAATTTCGTTTCCCCTCGATACCTGCAAAGTAAAATTGCTTTAATTTGAGGAATTGTGAAGTAAACAATCATAACAAAGAATGTCGATGAATTTTCATAGCAACCTTATAGACTGATCCAAAACCGCCCTCGCCAAGTTTTTCAACAACAGTCCATTGATCGATCTTCTCACCTGATTGCAACCTAATAATGTCCGCCATCCGATCGTCTGCATGAAGATGTAGTAAATAATGACGAACTTTGATAGAATGACTTCCTCTTTATTACTTTATTGTGGAGAGAAATATTATCAATAATATGTAAATTTAAAATTATTATTTATATGAATTGTTAATTATAGGGTATGTTCTTGGAATGATACAATTTAACTGATACTGTATATTTTGTTCCAACCTCAATACTACTAAATTACATCCTGTATTGAAAAGATTGCAATTTGCGTAGCATGCAACGTGGTTTTTCGCAATAAAAATAACACCAGATGTTGGTCTGTGTAGGGAAGATGTATGTGTATGTGACCTTTTGATAGCTATAAATTAAGTCGATCTGATCTATTAGAAAGGAAGAATGATTTGTTGATTTATCAATTTGTAATGATAAGGCAGTTCATTGAAATGTACAGTTCTCCTTGAATCATTGCGAAACGGTATTAACATTTGTTTTTGCTTTTTAAATGATTAGTTATTTAAATATGTTATTTTTAAGGCAATTAACTGAAGAAGGTTGCTGTAATGACTGTGTACATTTGTCCAGAAACTGGAGATGATGGTAGCGAATTGAAACTTTAAGGTAATTTTTTTTTTCATTTTTGGTACTTTTATCTAGTTATTCTTAGATTTAAAATTTCGAAGAAGCAATGTTAAGAAGGCTATATTAAATTGTATAAACTTCTGGAGTTTTTTGCATTAAATTAAATTTCGATAATTGGACTGCAGGACGCTTTATCAAGCGATGATAATTACTAAGTCTTCCAAAGGTGACTTCTTAATAAGGACTACGAAGGATGGAAAACAAATATGGGAAATTGCTTCAAAGACGGCATTGAAGAAAAGTTGGAAACGTTACGAGCAAGAAATGTTGAAGAATGAAAAAGTTGCTGCAATGGTGAGATTGCTTTTTTTTTTTTTTGAAAATATGAATTGAGTAGTTTGCTTGTTAGAAGAGACGGCGAGACAAGGTGTTACTTTAATTTATTGGCGAAAAATGAATTAAAAATAGGTAGCTTCATCATATAAGAAATATTTAATGAGTAGCATTTAATAAGTTGTTTGTATTTTTTAGATGTTAGAGAAGGATGCGACAGAAGTGGGAGTAAAAGCAGCCCTTGAAGAAGCCAAAAAAGTGCAAGTAGAACTGGAAACGAGTCTGTCATGTATCACTGGTCTGAAGATTCGTGATCCCATTAAACCCGTAATGAACGTGTTTGCATCAAAGGATGGATTCATAGGATGCGTCGATAGGGTATTTTACAATTATTATTCGTTGATTATCACAACTAGTTTTCAGTGAAATAGATTACTGTTTGAGATATTTCTTTTTTTTTGTAAAGATTATATATACATTTATTTATATTCGTCTTTGCATATTTTCCATATGTTTAGGAAAATCATTGATATTTTTCATCCTTCGAGATGGGACTGGTTTCCTTCAAGTACTACTCATGCATAAACTAGTTAGTTATTTTTTACTGCGGAATATGATCCGGATCTTTATGCCGTAGAATTGACGGAAAAATTTTGATAACAACCAGAAAATAATAATGAGCTGATTATATAAATGATACCATTTTCTGTAGAACAAAATTTATTAATTACAATTTTTTTAGTGCCAGACCTATGACGCTCTCACTGTGAATACTGAATGCACGGTTGAGATATACGGTACAATAAAGGAAGTTCCGGAAGGTAAAGAGGCACCGAATGGGCATGAGTTAATAGTTGATTTCTGGAAAATAATAGGAAACGCACCTCCTGGAGGTATTGTTCAATTATTTCGTTCATTTTATTTTTATTTATTTTGTTCTATGCGCTTATTTTTATTTTTCGTAATTGTAATTCGTATGCCGTAAATTAATTTTTAAAATAGAATAATTAGGACTTCATATGAAGTACTTTAAAGAAAATATTGATAGCTAAATAATATAGTTACAGGTACATATGCTTACGTTGGTGATATTTTGAAAGATTATTTTTTTAGATAATCATAGAACTTTCCAGGAAAAAAAGCAGAAATTTCTTGTGAATATCTGAAAGGACTTAGGGAATGTGTTTATGGGGAAAAGTTGAAGGTTATTATGAGAATCATCGTAAGACCTGTTCGAATATATATAGCGTATTGTTAGATTTAATCGGGCATAAGGAATATGAAACTTGTCACATTTGATCATGATATATTTTATCATATGCTGATGTGTAGTTAACTTATTTCACCGTATTAGTAAGTTAGATTGTTATGCACTAGTAGAAATAGATAAGAAAATTTAAATTTCGGTAGTCTATATTCATTGCAGGCATTGATAATGTGTTAAACGAAGAAGCAAGTGTCGACAAAATGTTGGACAATAGACATTTGGTTATTCGAGGTGAAAATGCTGCTGCATTGCTACGTTTGAGAGCAGTTGCTACTCGAGCAATGCGGAAACATTTCTATAATGCTGGCTATGTGGAAGTTGCACCACCAACTTTAGTGCAAACGCAGGTTACATATTTGATGAAATGTTGTTTAGGATAATATATGTGTGTCGATGAAGTGATTGAAAATTATCTTTTTCTAGGTAGAAGGTGGATCAACGTTATTTAATCTGGACTATTTTGGTGAACAGTCTTTTCTTAATCGTCACAGCTCTATTTAGAAACTTGCATTCCCACTCTTCATCATAATGCTACGGCACCAGTTGGTTTCCATTAATCATAATTATTATGAAATTTTTTGGCGTTAATGGTTAGCAAAATGTTAGAATGATATTGCCATCTATAATTAAAAGCTTAAAAATAATACTTTATTGTAACTGAAATGTAATGATGTATTGTGTTAATGTTGTGGAAGAGAGATGTGATTTATTTTATGAATAGAAAACACTTCTCATAGTTGATAAATTAGAAAAAACTGCAGACTTTATGTGAATGTTATTCGGTTTTTACCAATATTTTTAATCATTATTATTATTGAGAATGCTTTTTTAAGGGCGGAAAAATCTCGTACTCGTCGACACTTGGCGGAATATGCATATGTTGAAGCCGAATGTCTTTTCATAACGCTGGATGATCTGATGGAGAAAATTGGGAACTGGTTTCCGACACAGTGGATTGACTTTTAGCTGACGAGGAAGCAAAAAAATTATTGAAGCACATAAATCCGGTTATTTTTTCTCTCGCTTTTGATTTTTTTTTTTTTTTTTTTGGATGATATGCTAAATTTTTAACTTATATTTTCAGTAGTTCTTGTTTATATGCTTAAAATAGTCAGTTGTAATAGGAAAAAAGTTTAAAACATTCGATGAGTATGAACTTCTGCCTTTTGTTTCGATATTTGCTTACTCCACAAGATTTATTAATTCTTTCTCAAAAATCAATAATCATTTTAAAAAACGTATAGTTAATAAGGTTGTTCTTTATTAGAGTTATAATATATACACGAGGAGTTTTCTTTCACTGATACTTTACGTTTTCCTTTATTTATCAATGATAGTTGTCTTATATCCTCTTTTTGCAGAAATTTCAACCGCCAAAAAGGCCATTTTTAAGAATGGAATATAAGGATGCTATTAAATGATTGCAAGAACACAATGTTCAGAATGAATTTGGTAATAGTTTTAGTTATGGGGAAGAATTGCCGAAGCAGCGGAACGTTTCATGACTGATACCATCAACAAGGTAAGTCTTTGCGGGATTATTTTCGAGTACATTTAAATTAGGCGCTGCTGTTTGGAGTTAGAATTTGTATTTTTAAAAAATTGACCTTGATGCTTGTTTACGTCTAATGTGAAAAATGATTTATTCATCATGATTATAGCGAGAATATAACAATAGAATTTGATAGTTCTAGGGATTCGAATTAATATAACTTTTACTTCTCTTTTTATTTGCATTTGTGATTTATATTATAGCCTATTCTACTGAATCGTTTCCCGAGCGAAATTAAGGCATTTTATATGCAGAAGGATACGCACGATAATACCTTAACAGAATCTGTTGATCTTCTTATGCCTGGTGTTGGCGAAATTGTTGGTGGCAGTATGAGAGTTTGGAAGGTATATTAGTCTCAAAACTTCACTAATACATATTTCAAAAAAAGGAATTTTCTGGAGTTTTCTTATTCATTTTCTTCGTTTCTTCGTCTTTTTTTTTTATTTAACCAATTTCTTCGCATATTTTAGTTCGATGAGCTATCGAAAGCTTTTAAAAATGTGGAAATTGACCCGAAACCATATTACTGGTACTTGGATCAACGTTTATATGGCACCTGTCCACATGGTGGATATGGACTTGGCTTGGAACGTTTTATTTGTTGGTTAACAAACACCAATCATATTCGCGATGTGTGTCTTTACCCACGCTTTGTTGGTCGATTTGTCCCATAAATATCATTTGGGAACTTGCTTTCTCGTGATTAAATGAAAAGAAAGGAAATGACATCGTTGAATTGTTGAAGTCTGTGCACCGTTTTCTGCTTCTCACACTGATTGTGATGAGCTGTGTTGTTGAAAAATATTTTATATAAATTATATAAGTTATTGCAGAAGTTGATTTTACTGTTATCACTAATTTTTTTCTCTTAACTTTTGCTTTTTATAATTTAATAAACATATTACAGTAACTTGCGCCGTTATATGCTTGTATAATTTATCTAGTTCCTTCAGCATATATATATGAAAAATGATAGGGAAAAAACTTAATTATCTGCTTATGCTGTTATATGTAGTGCATGAGGATATTTCCTTCACACAACAAGATGCAACGATATGTTTGGTTATATAGCTCATATTTAGCCTTAGAAAAAAGTTATATATAGCCCAGCTTAGTGTTCCCATTCTGATGTCATTCTTATTATTAATAATGAGTAAGATGATCTAACAGTTGTTGAGATGTCATTTACACAGTTCACCTTAAGTACTCTTGATCTCCCCGAACTAGTTTTTGGATTTCGAAAGGTTTTTATAGATATCCTTCATAGCGGTCACGTATTGTAAAATTGCTTCAGGACTATTTTCATAAGAACAGTGTCAGTTTTTCCCATTTTAACAATGCCACCAGTTCCAAATATTCCTCCTGCTTTGACTGGTAGCAAGGAAGGGTATGTTTTTGTAGTCTTTCCAGTTTTTTATTTGAAGTGGTAATCATAAAGATTCGCAAATCCTGACTTCATTCCATTAAATATTGCTAATCAGAAATCCTTTTGTAGCATTACCTTAGGCTTTCTAGTTCATTTGTTTGAAAAGATTTCTTAACATTTCTAAGATGATAATGGTTCCTTTTTCAGGACATTCGCATTTTTAACGGTTCGTGATCGTTGGCCAAAGATATTAGGTAAAATTGTAGACCAAGTGCATCGGTATCGACATGCTCATATTGCTGTTCATGGCGAGGTTGTTTAGCTTTTTGTTTCCTTAGCATTCATGCTTAATGAATTATTAGCAAGATTACCTGACATATATAACGTTTTTTGATGTTATTTTCTTTTTTGGAAGAGAGAACAGTATCTGCTGGCATATGGTATCTTTAAAAAGTTAATAGATATAACAATTATTCTTATGTGTTCTTTCTTATCGCCTTAACAGTTTATATAATATTTATTTGCAAAGCACCGTTATCGAAGGGAGACATAAAATGTCCATGTTGGAAAATTTTCAGTATTTTGTGCTTGTTGCTGTTATTGTTGTAATTCCACGATATCGACAATAGCTTTATTGGTCTTTTGCAATTTCGTATCGTATCACGCATGTAAAATAATAGAAGAAAATGAACCAAGTAAACATGAAATTATAGCAACAAGTCACTGAATGTCCGCCAAGTTGTCTCTGTTTTCTCCATCAACGTTTGTTGAAAATGAACTGAGTGAGTGTTAAGACCAACCGAATCAAAGCTTGTAGTACCCAAAAACTGAGCTTAGACAAAGGTTTTAACTCCTTACAATGGCTTGTAACAAAGCGCATTATTATAGTGAGCAAATAACTCTCACTGTCACATGTTCTTAACCCTTCATATAGTGCTGGTTGATTTACAACATCACGTCATTTGCAATATTTTGAATATAATATCTATAATATAGTATGAAAGATATAATGTCTATAATGTTTTGACATTGCAAGTAGATTTGGTTTATAACAACGAAAATTAGAATTTACAACTTCTTAAGAATCGATTATAAGTTTGACTTTTGAATTAGAAACCTCAGCAATAAACTTTTAACAGATTGTAATATCCTAGATAAGGCACATAAGCTTAGCTGCTACAATTGAAAAATGAGTGTTGGACTGATGGTTTTACTTAGATATAAAGTTGGAACAGTTTTATGTTTATCTAAGGAATATTTAGATAAGGCAGTTTTTAATCTGCAAATTTTATTTTATGGATTTAATACAAAATTTGTTATGTTTCGATTTAGTAAAAGTATAAGGGTTTATGAGTCTAATTACTCTGATTACATTTTTCGGCTTCGCTCCCATATGTATTCAATATCTTTATATTAATCTCCTTGTGATTTAGTTTATGATAAGACATGAAGTATTTGTGTACTTATGCTTATGAAGGAATCGCGGATAGATTTTTAGAATTTCAGGAAACAGGAAACATATGAGTCTAAGTACTATGACCGGAGGAATAGATGTGATTTCAATTTTTCTAAATTACGTTTTACATTAACAAAGGTTAGATAAATACCTTTACTGTCCGACATGTATCAAGTTAAAAGCCAAACGCTGAAAACTAAATCAGTCTTTGATCACTGTAAAGAAAGGGAGGATATATATTTATATAGTTCTGTTAAAGTAATAAAGAAAGTTGAGTTAGCAGGTATGAAATTATACCTGGAAAACGCGAGAACTATACATTTGGAGAGCAGCTAGAGTTGTCGGTATTCTTTCATACTCATGCATATTCTATATTATGTATCACTAAACATGTACTGTCAGACTTTTTTATTGTCTGATTTGAATATAATTTTGTTTCAATTATTAGTGAGAGAGTTATGATTCAAAAAATTTCTCTTTATGTATGTTCTCACACATTTCACTGCATCAAATTTGGTATGCAATTCCTCCTATTTGAATTTTACTACGTTTTCCTTTTTTTTTTTTAATGACTTTTAAATTTCTGTTATATTATATTCTTATTTCAGGTGGGCGAAAAAGATATTAAATCAGTCCTTAGTCAACTGTCTGAGTTGTCTTATCTTGTCTCCACGGACAAACCATTGCAAGATCTTAGTGACCATGGAGAAAACGTTAGTATTTGGAATGAAGAACTGAGAGAATTGCGAATGAAGGTGCTTTTATAAAGTCTGTATAGCTACAAAATATTTTTCACTTAATTATTTTTTTACCCATTAATTGGATCTCTGATTCCAAGAAAGCACGATAAGAATAGAATACCTAACATTATTCTTTTATGAGGCACAGGACTCTTTATAAAATGCTGAACTAAAAATTTGAAAAATTTAGTTTTAGAAAATAATTCTTGGTAGGTTGTATTTTACCTTTTACTCATGGAATGAATTAGAGAATAAACTGATTGATATGTCATTTCAGAAAGGTACAGAACAAGTGACTTGGTATCGTTGTGATTGGTTGTTTGCTGAATGTTTTTTATATAGGCAAATAATGAGTTTGTTTTTGAAAACAACAACACTAAAACAATTCGATCCATTCGCATCGCAGAAACAAGGCTCTTTTATTGGTTGGTGAGTATTTTGTTTTAGTTTTGTTCGTCATAAACAGTATTCTCGTATTATGCAGTCATACCGTTATAGAGTGATCAAGTTCTAGTCATTTCGTATAAAAAAAAACTGATGCAGTTTTTATAATATATATACATATATATAGTTAATTTTAGCATTGATACGATTAGTATGCTTGCAAAACGTGTGGAAGAAATGGCATCAGAAACAGCAAAAGTCAATTACGACATAATTTCTTATTTTTTCCAGGTATAGCTTTGATATATGCTTCTGGTATTTGGTATCAAAACTAGAAACCTTAAAGTTTAAAATGTCTTTTTACTTTTCAAACTGAATTACTTTTTTTTTTCTTCGTGCAGGTGTGTTTATGGGGAAATACATGTGATTTATCGCTCTCATGTGGTGAACGCGTTACGTCGTTGCCTCTTTCGGATATGGTTGACCACCTAGCCGATAAAATTTTATGTAATCAGCTTGGTGAAATTGATCGTATTTTAAGGTAATTCATTAGTATGCGAAAGATTTTCACATTAATGATAAATCGGAATCTTTGGAAATTACCTTTTCTCTATCATACTTTTTATTTTTCTTTTGAAAAACGATGAGCTTCAGAAGTGGTAAAGTGGAGCGTGTAGATATAGTTCTTGATAATTCTGGTCTCGAACTTTTCGCTGATTTAGCAGTTGCAGAATTATTAATTGGCAAGTGTGGTGTAAAGAATGTTGTTTTTCACGGAAAGGTTCGTGTTTTCTTAAAGTTTCTAGATTCTGGGTCGTTAATTTGTCTTTTGTTCCAGCAGTTTTTTTTTTTTGCTTTTCTTCATATTTGTTAAAAAATCATGAAATCATAAAACTTATAAACTCTTGGTTTAAAGATACTGTTGACTTTAACCTAAAAAATGAAACTATCCCGCTTAATCATTTAAGCAACGGAATCACTCTCCAATTGTTTTTATTTATATTCTCATTATTATTTTGGTTCAGATTTAACAAATTTTCACGGTAGTTATATATACATATATATATATATTTCTGTCTGCAGAGTATGCCATGGTTTGTGTCGGACGTTACTGGTATAGATTTCAACTGGACAGTCGAAATGCTAATTGCTAATTCGGACTATTTGTTGAGAAATTTTGGTGTAAAATGCTCACAGAGATTATCTGATGTATGATTCTTCGATCCTGTTACATATGTATATTACATTCTTCTAGTGTTTCTTAAACGAAATATGTAAAGTAAACTGGTAATAATATTTTGGCTTTATATTTTGGCTTAATATATTTTGGCTTAATCTCTGTTAAAAATACACTGAAGAGAAAAATCTCGAAACTATTCTAATTAAATTTTAACTCGTGATTAGCTTGCAAAGTTTTTAATCAGTAGGACACTTCGTTATTTTCAGTCCATCGACCTTTTTTAGGGTGAATTTGTTTTCCAAAGTCATTATTTCTGGACTCTTCCATATCCATATTACTTAATGGCTGAGAAAGCTCCAGATCTTTACAATGAATTATCACAATCGTCATTAATCATTTTTAAAGGTGATTATAACTACAGAAAGCTGGTTAGTGATCTAGAGTGGCCACAAGATACTCCTTTCAAAGTAATTTTTTTCATTAATTTTTTTATTCTTCAATATGTTAATAAGGTCGACAAAAGTATGTGTTAGACCGCTGCATATATAGGAGATTAATAAAAGTCAGTAGTGCAGATATCGACACATATTTGCAGATTATTCCTAACATGAAATCATCTTTGTGTCTCAGTCATGTAATTTCAGATAGCTTTACGAGGCTTCGGTCCAGCACCAATTTTGGTGCTTCGTACTATAAAAGCAGAAACGGTGGCAGGACTAAGTTCAAATGTGATTGACGATTTACGGAGGAAATATGGTAGCAATAAAATTTGGATGACAACGGGAGAATATGCTGTTGCACAGTTCACGATATGATTCCTTCTTTTCTATCATAATCGCACTATTTTAATAATAATTCTTTGTCTCCTTGTAAATCTTTATTAACTACATTTAGTCTAGTTTCTTTAATCATTTCAGAACTCCAGCAAATTCTAATAAGAGCCTTTGATTTTGGGTTCTGTATTCTATTGGATTAAACTAGACTAAATGTAGTTAATAAAGATTTACAAGGAGACAAAGAATTATTAAAATAGTGCGAATAGTTAGGAATTAGTTGAAAAACACTAGGAAATTTTTAAATTTCAATTCCTACTAGCGTGAATCAAATTGCTTTAGGAAAAAAAGGATTAGGCTTCAATTTATTAGTCTATATTTTGCAGTTCCTCAAGGGGGTTTCAAGATGAATGTACCCACTATATTTCTGGATTTTAGCTCTCAGTACTTGGAAGTTCTTACATGCAAAATTTTGTTTGCTTAAATACCGTTGAGCATCTTTGTCAGATTTCATTAAACTGCAATATGGTTATTGAATAAATTACGCGCAATCTCTTTATTCACAGTGGCGTATCATGCAAAGAAGGACAAGGGGGAACAATTTGAAGATGTGAATCAACTTTAGAATGTTATATATTCTATATTCTGGAAATCTTTCGATAGGAATCGATGACCACAGTTTGTGGATGGAGTAAATATGGCACCTGCACAAGAATAAATATGCTAACTTCTCAGAAGGGGCAAGTGACCCCCACCAAAAATAACTGTTAGTGGTAATTCATGCACAATGTTATGCGGACTGTAATCTCTCTACTACAAGATTTTAGCACCGAATGGAAAAACGTGTATGGAGAAAGGAACTGACTTCAGAATGACATCAAATTTTATTAAAAAACTACACTCAGGTATAAAGAGCGCAGAAGGATGTGAATTTAGATCGGTTTATATGCAAAATTTTCACAAACCTACAAATACTCATCGTTTCTTCAGTAATCATTTCCCGATCCATTTCTTTGCTGATAAGCTTCACCGACTCAGTCTATCATACTAGTGTTATTTTCAGAAAAAAAAAATGACTGATTGGGTTGATTTTTTACCTCTTCTTGTTAGAGCCCATTTTGCTTGTAATTATGTTTGAGCAGACGACTAAAGAGGGTGATGGCATTAACTGTAAACAATGTTGTCAATTCATTCGCGAAACTATGAAGTAACGTTGAAGTTATTCCGTCTTTTTCCATTTCCTTCCAATAGACTTATTAATATTTTCAGTGAAATTTAAGGTTATTATTGCCTTGACCAATTTCATAAGACAGCAAGGAAAAGATTAGTAGTATCCAATAAGCATGCTGACCTGAAGTTTTGGTCATGTGTTTTAGTTTCTTGAAAAACATTGAGAAAAAAAGTTTAATTAGGTTTAGTGGCCAAATTTCCTATAGCACTAAACATGATGATAATCTATCGAAAGCATATAATAGTTACTAAAATAGATTACTACTGGCCATGTCATTAAAAAAGAAGCACAATTTATATATAGTTTCAATGGTGATTTAAAAAAAAAAAGAGCATTTATAATCTGTCATATAATATCAGATAAATTATGCATAATTTATTGACGCCTCTCAGTTATCAGTGTCGTAAGAAATCAGTGCTTCTTTATTAATGTACTCACTTCATAGATTCATCATATTTCTTCAGTATTTGATGATTTTGTAAGTGATAAAAGTATCATTTTTATGGAAAAATTAATTCATCCATTTACAATTCAATTCTTAGGCTGAAACAAAATTTAGTTCATTTATTACTTTTACTTTATAATATTAGTTGTTGACAGGGAAAGTGTCATTTAATATGCATGCTTGCAAGGATTAGCCCAATGCGTCAATATTTCTTTTCAGCGTTTTCTTCTTTTAGAAAAAAGAGGTACATTAAAATAGGATATGGAAAAGAGAAGAAAAGAGGAATGAATGGCGAGAGTGGAAAAAGTGTGGAGAAAGGATGATGATGATGGTGATAATTATCACTTCCTGAGGCTGATAAAACGGTTTTGGCTATTGAGCAGAGTTTGCAAAGGAAGCTACAGTCGAACACTCATTAATTTAACCTCTTCAGCTCACGATGAAAAGAGGACTGCTCAAAATCTCTCATTTCTTCAATTCACAGTTTTTTTCTCTTTCTTTTCTCTTCTCCTGATATTATTTCCTCTTAATTTCTAGGAAGGCATTTCTTTTTCCTTATTTTTGTACATGCATTGATTGCTTCTACCATATAACTCTGAATGCTCTGTTATCAGCAATTTGCATGCTTCCAGTCAATGATACATACCAAAAATCAAAGAACTATAAGTACTTTCTTCTTAAATCAAAATAATTTCACACTTTTAATAATTCCAAAATCAAGAAGAAGTAACGTAATATGACACATTCATTCATTCCACTAATGAAATTCATTAATTGCAAGCATTGTTTTATTTCTCAAATCAATAACTAAGTGTGCTTGTTCAATGACTTCATCTAATTGGTCATTTCCTGGGTTATACAAATTAATGTACTTCGTTAATTTAAATAACGATGACAAAATTAATGCTATCATCTTAGCACTGTATTGATTTCGTAGATTCGTTAGCCATCAGACATAACTTTCCCTCCCAGTGTTTTTCTAAAGACATTCTAAAAGTGCGACAAGTTAGGAGAGCCTGTTCTGCTGTCGCAATTTCACATTATCTGTATGTGTGTGTGTGTGTGTGTGTGTACATATGTCTCTGTGTATGTATGATAACTGAAACGTTATGATCTGTGACCTTTTCCAATTTTACATTCTCCTGATTACACCCACTTACCATTTAAAGTCATTTTCTGATTTGACATCTCTCAAAATAATCATCACAACATTATTATTTGTTCACTTTATCAGTGATGGTTTACAATTAATTAGGGATGTAAAAAGTTATCCTTTAGTTAAAAAGTTTTTTATTTTTGTGTTTTTTTATGCCAGGAATCAATGGCAAATAAATTTGCTTTAAAATAATCAATGGAGAATTTTTCATGATTTTCAATTTACTTCCTGGTAATTTCTTGATAATTATCTTTTTTGTCACTGAAATAAATTTCACAATTCAAAAATTGATTTCCGATTTCCATATATGAATGTTGTTGATTAAACAAAATAACATTAATCAAACTATAAATTCTTAAGGTAAGCAATTTTGATATATACATTTTTGACTTATCCGAAATAGTTTGTGCGATACTATTAGCACGCCTCTACTGATTGATAATTTTTCAAATGATATCATCTAAAATCAAACTTGGAATATAGACCTGCTTCATGAAAATTAAATTATTCTTTCTATAAAAAATCTACTTAACTAGCTTGCTGTGTTGAAATTTACTAAAAAACGTTTTCCATTTTCATCAAGTATTTAATTAAATTTCATCAAATCCTTTATATTTATAAATTCTTGATTGAACAGAACACAAAAATTGTAGCTTGAAAGAAGGAACGCTACCGACAACTTTTACTTGAGCTAGGATGAGAACTCTAACTAAAGTGATATTTTTATTATTTCAACTAATTAATTCCTCGTTTTTCTTTATGAGCAATACTGAACTCACCATCATCTCTATGCTACTTTTTAATTATTATTGTTATTGTGATGATGAAAACTCGAAGGAAATTTCACACAATACTACTTCAGTATCTACTGTACATTTGAAAGTTCATGTGTAGCTTTCCTTTCTTTCGCGCAGAAATATTATCCATTTTTAACAAATAATTAATTTAAAAAATTAATAATTTATTATTAATTATTATTATCGTTATTATAATAATTAAGCCTTGAATTTGTATTTCAATTCAACATGTATTTTTTTAAACACATTTATTTAAATGCTTGAATCTTGCTTTTTTAACGAAATGTTGCTCACTGTCACTTCTACACTTCACTTCATCTTCCTTTTTCTCCTTCTTTCCTCACTTTTTTGACTTTTTCTTAGAGAATGATTACAAAATCATTTCAAAATCTTCAGATTAATTAAAAATTAGTGAAATGCAAAACCTCCTGTAAAGTTGTAGTAATTTCAATTCAGTTAAATTGTACCATTAAAACTCTATTTGCTTTCGCTCCTTGCATTCCACATTATCAGTTATTGATATTATAGATATCTATCTAGTGGATGAAATGTTTTATAATACGGAAATGAACACCATTTATGGTGATAAATTGGATAATTCGTTCAATGATGGCTCATCCTCAGAATCTCACGATATTCATCCCATGAATCCCACTAATGTTATGTTCAAAGGACAACTTCAAAGTAATCAGGTGGTTCCATTATTTGATTTACTATTTTACCGTTCCTTTATCACGTCATCTCCTTATTTATGAGAATGAGAAAATGGAGATGTTGATCAACTACATAATTCTATTTCATTTCCAAAAGGCATGATTAAACTTGTCTTAGAAGAAAAAAAATAAAAAGAGCGATGCTTGAATGAATTTTTTATTAAATTGATAAATGATTTTAGAGTCTTTCGCATGATATCTGGACTTCATCCCGTCTTATATGTTTGATGTAACAACATTGTAGAAAGATCTTAAAGCTTCGTTTTTTTCAAATACTATACTCAAAAAACCTGATAATTAGTATAAAATTCTTCTTGAATAGCAGAATAAGAGAAAAATATCACTCTTATGCATGAATGAAACTAGAATACATCTCAATAGTGACCTTTTTTGTAAGTAATAGTTAACTGAACTGCTTATATAGAAGTATGGATTGAATTTCATAAAACGAAATCTTCATGAACTGTAAATTTGGCCGTTCGCGACTTTTCATTAAAATAATATCGGTGCTAAACAGCAATGATAAAATGATGTTGTCTAGAAATGCTGCGCGGTAAGTACTACTATACTTTAACACTCACTTTTGCATGCCAACTGTTCTCTGTTTCTTTACAAAATCAAAAATTCTAAATATCGGTGCTTGACATTTCTTTAGTTTATACAGATGTGCAACTTCGTGCTAGTCTGTTTACTGGCACTTACACGATTAATCACTATTTTAGCTGCTACTAACTTAAAAGTAACAATATTCTTTCACTGACTATTTTTGATAATCCTATGGAAGAAATAAAAATATCGCGTAAAGTTATCAGCCGTATTAGTTGTGCCGACTATAAATCCTGCATCAGAATATAGCATGGCTACCACTGAGTGCTGTTGATCGACTGAGTGTTCTATTTAACAGGAACTACAATATTACATATTGTATCATTTTACAAATCCTTCAATTGAGCTTCTAAAGTCAATCTATCCTTTCGTTCTGCTCCTCACTGCTAAAATTATTTTTAGTTGCAAGTAATATCAATATTTTTCTAGGAAATATTGGAAGATCACTGGTTGATCTTTGATTTTCTTCCACGAATACTGTTCAATTCAAAATGTTTCATTGTTTTTATAACTTTTATATGCCTATCTTTTTTCTATTTTTCGGTACAAATATTTGGTCTATCTGTTTTGTATCTAACTGTTTCATCTTCAAACACTTCGTATACCTGGTCAAAGCAGTGATTTTATATTCATTGTATATGTCATGGAATGTACTGACTGCCAGATATTTTATTTTGCCTCAAAGTTGGGTAATTAAAAAGCGTAACGAAAGATATAATATAATTATAAAACACTAAAATAATATCAAAAACCACCTCAAAATGTAGGATGAATAACCGTAATGGAGGATGGTTAGTTTATATACAGAACTGAACTGACCAGATATCCGGCAGAGGACGTTTAAATGATGTGAAGCAAAGATTGCTAACAAAAGGTTTTTCGTTCTGTGAGAAAAAGGAATTAGCATAATGGCTTAAATGATCTGGACATAGATTAGTTACAAATGCGAAATTATCAGACATCTGGCAAAAATATTAGAATTTGAATGTAATTTAAATGGATTTTTGAAAAATTAGAAATAAGCTCGTTATGATTTTGTTATGACTACAGTAGATTAATATGTGAACACAACGCGACATGAAAAACCTGTCTGTCAATAAAATTTGAAATTCTCAAGTTTGAAATATGCGAGCTTAAATGTTAATGAAAAGAGAAAAACTAATCGATGTGCTACTAATTTAATTTTGTTGCAAAGCATAAAGTGGCCGAAATCGATACAATCAGGCCTAGTTTGCGATATCAGTATTATTGAGCTTCACATTAATAGGAAGTTGTTTTCAATCAAAAACTTATCCATATTCATGATATGAATGTTCATTGTTCGAGTATTTCTTTTCAAAGACTTTGATCATCAAAGTCTCAATGTTTGATTAAAATCTATCTATTTCACTCTAAAATAGAATTCCAGCTTTCTCTAGGTGTTACTATAATTTTGAGCCAAATTGCTTATTTTTAACAAGTTCTTGGTTGGGGATATCCTTAATTTCTTCTACCTGAATATTTGATGCGTTTACATTTTATTCTGTCCTTTTACATTTTCTTTTTAACTGCATTTTCTTAATTTCATCATATCTTATTTCCGTTTCAGTCCTTCTTTTTTGGATGACCCAATAAGTGATTCAGCGATATTTAGATAATTATATCAGAGACGAATATCACATCTACTTTTTGCAGGTCAATGAAATGGTACCATTGCCGTCGTTGATGACCGCTGTCACCGCTAACTCTGCTAAAGCGATTTCAACCACTCTGTGTCGATAGCTTTTCGCGACTTCTACGCTTTACTCCTCTCTCTCAACTGCTCTTCCCCTCCTTCTTCTTCTGTCTCCGTTATGCCGCATTCTTTCATCAGATATTTTTTCAACTTCTCCAAATCGTGGGAATGTGTGCAACTGCATGCAACTTTCCTCTAATTTCAATTTTAATCATTTTTGTTGTCGAGTCGCTCCCTTCTCTGCAAGATTTTCTCGATCCATACAATGTTGTATTCTTGAATTATGATCGCGTGTAATTCACTTATCTATCTGTTTCTTCGCCATCTGCCAGAAGAGAGAGAGAGAGAGAAAGAAGAGGGTAATCACCGAAGCTTTCCCATTGCTCCCGCAGCTCATGGATTCTCACCTTATCTTACCTACTTTTTGTCATGTTTTTCCTTTTTACATTCAGTGTAGAAAAGAAAGTGTTCTTTTTACTTATTCATTCTCCTTTGCGCCTTTTATCATTTATCTTTAATTATCCAAAAACTGCACTGCATGAAAGATCTTTGCAAAAAACCTTTAATGTTGGGTTATTGGACGATAGTCTTTCTAGAAATAAGCTTTCTCTTCCAATTCCCTCTATCTTCACTTGTCACAATGTTTAATTCTTCCTTTTTTGCTGTAATCTCCCTAAAGATAAATCCTTTTTTTGCCAAATTTCAATTGCTGTCATTGAGATAGATGAACGCTTGTTCATTTGTAAACATTTCGTTCTTTTTTCTGCACTTGCAGCAGCGGATGTCTCTTTACTTCACTCATTTTTCTATCTCATTTTTGCAAGCGCCACATTTTGGACTTCTCATGTCCTTTTGCATCTCTCTCTCTCTTGCCTTTCGCCCACTCGTTACTCTCCATCTTTAATTTAAGTATGAGAATAATATTACGAGAGGTATTTGCAATCATCCGATAAGCACTAAAATTTAAGCTACAGAGGACTATGAGCTAAGTTTAAAGTGTATAGTCTTCGACAAGTTACGATGTCCAGTTTTATTCTAAATTGAAATAATTCTATTCTTCTTTTGTAATTAAAGCTATCTTAAAGTCGTCTCGGAAATATTGAAGTAACTGTAGTGAGTTATTTTAATTAGAAATTACTGTTAAATTGTCAAGCTATTTGTCTGTCTCAGTTCATAACAAACCGTTATCTTAATACTTTGTCCATAACAGTAGTATTTGACCGCACTATAATTTAGTCATCTTGGCAATAAATTGCTTAGAAATGTAGCGATAATGACCTTTACTTTGTCATTAGCTGTAGCTAATCATTTGACGAATGACTAGCTTGATACTTCATTTTCCTCGCATTTTCGACAATATAAAAATTCTGGTAAAAATAGAAAAATATTTGAATATCTGTAACTTTTGTGCTTCCATTATATCTATCCCATCAACCCTTACTTTCAAGTACTTTGCTATTTTCTTTCTGCTCTCCGACAGCTATGATTACGATTACCAGAAGAACCCTGTTAAAAAACAAGTTTTCGAAACACATTGTTCATTTTTAGAGTTCATCATGCTGAATTTCTTTTTATCCAGAAGTAATTCCTTTTTTATTCCTTTTTCCTTATTCCTTATTCTCCTTATTCACTTTTTCTAAAAAAAAAGTGATTTTTCATTGTTTTATAAGACCAATTAAATTATGCATTCAAACTTTCTAAAATAAATTAATCGTCGTACTGTTTAGATGGAATCAAATACTCTGTTTTTAATTTCAATTCAGTCGATTTTTTCAAGTACGATTCAGTAAAAATGATGAAAATTCAGTTCTCACGATGCGAAAAAAAAATGAAAAAAATGGAGAGAGAAATGCTGAAAGCACTTTTTTTCCTATTATGCATTAGCTGTGCAAATGGGGCGTGCTTTGAATGTCTAGGCTTGTGGCAATATTTTATTAGCACCAGAATTTTTTTAGACTGAAAAATATGAAGCAATGAAATTGTTTTGGACAAAAGTACAAATGTATACGAATATGATGTTGTAAATAAACGAAAAGCTATATGAAAAAACTTCTAATACGATTCTGACGCAAATATTTTGGATGACACCATGAACTGAAAAATAACCATCGAATTTGTTAGCAGCATTCCAAATGAAAAGTTTTGTTATCGAATCCTACTGTTTAAACACTCTTGAATTTCAAATAATAGTAAGATTGGCATGAACTTCACACTAATCAAAGTGATACATCAAGCTTGTTTTCGATAAACAAAAATGTTTTCAAATCGATAAGAAACCGCAAAAACATCTTCATTTAGTGTTCTGTTAACTAGCCACCTTATCATTGTGTATTGTTACTGATAAGGCGTAATTACTATAATCTATATATTTCATACATTCTAGTAAAAACTTTATCTCTGGTTCTTTTGAAATATTTACGGCTCAGAAATGTACTCCTAAAAAGTGCATTCTAAATCCTTCTTATTTTACAATAGATTAAAGGTATGACAGTGGCGTTACTGATAATTTTATATTACTTAGATGAAAATAATAATAAAAAGTAGCTAAGCAGCAGTGGGACAAGTATTTCTCTACTCGACCTTTGATCGTCAACATTAATAAAAATCGTTTGCAGCAAAAATGAGCACTTTTATTTTTTGTTTTTCTCGTTCATTTGACAATATTTCTGACTCACTGACTGCTACTTCACTCCTCATTCATTTAAAGTTTTCAAAGGACTTCACTTCTTCATTTCTTTCTTTTCTTATCTCACTTTCTTTTCTTGCAAAAAAATCCATAAATTTGAAAATATCTTTAAAAAAGCTAATGTTCAAATATACGTAAACCAGATTTGATATTTGTGTTTAAGGAATGATAATAACTGGATATTGAAAGCTTTAAATATTGTCTAATAATTCTGAATATATGTATCTGTTGTATATTAAATAAAAATTAATAATTAGCACTTTATTACATATATTTATGACAGATCTGAGCATTCCTATGAAAATTAAATTGAAAGTTCCTTTAGTCTTTAAACAAGGCATAAAAAAGCCGAAAAAATATATGTAACTATTTTTTTATGCCGAAATTGTAAATAATTATTAAAATGTCATATAGTTGAGAGATTTTATTTATAGATAAATCAAGGAACTTACCAAGACATTTATAATTGTGATATCGGACCCACACATGATACTTTTCAAATGTCTTATGGAGAACTTAGAGGAACATTTGTTCCAGCATCCTCAACCATTGTTTCTGTAAGTTGTTTTAATTAATTATCTTGATCATGATAAAATTATATTTCACCGGAATTTCTGTGCAACGAGTTAATTTAGGAAATGCAAAAAACAAAAAAAGCCTGCTTATTCTTTCTTTCGCTTTTCTTCAATCTTTGTGTTGAATAGATACATACAGAATATAATTTCTATTTGCTAACTGATATTTTTAAATAAAGTTTGGCCGTTCTTACATTTTCATGTCTTTGACAGATCAGTTTTTCTGCTTTTTTCCAAGAAATTTTCTTAATATTTCCTTAAATGATTTAAATTTTATTTTTAATGAAGAGCGGAAGTTGTTAACAGATAACTTTTCTTTGAAGAGAAATTCATTACTGCGTGATTAACTGAGATCTTATTACAAGTTTTTAGCAGTTGGCCATAATTGGATTACTCTCATATACTAAAGAATTTACTTCGGTCGAGTAGTCATTAGGTAGGTATTTGTATCTTGCACAGAATCCATCAGTGGCATTCATTAAACAATCATTAAATCAGTGGTAACACATTCTTGAACTATTCATCTGGTGTGTGGTATATCGTAGCTTTCCATGTAGTCTGATGATAAACTGCGATAATCAGTAAGTATTTTGGTGATAAAAAAACAAGTTGTCTATTTTATATACTTGTCAATGACGTATGAAGAGAATGACGAGAATAAATTGTGCACTTTTTGACAATGTTTCCAGCTGTCGCCTTTCTATATTTTCCCTTTTTGTAGATTTTTTCTTAATGATTCTCAAGGAGAGTTTTTTTCATTTTCTTTCCATTGGATATTGAATATTTTGGAAAAAAACTGAAGGCAGAATGTAAATGCATCAAAGGTTGCAAATGTCAAAACAGTTTTAAAATTATGAAAATTTCTACTTTGCATTATTAACACATCAGCACTAAGTTAATCATTTGAGTTCACTGAGATGACAAGACAATAAGATGAAGACAAAAATGGAAAAAGTTTATGGAGAGATTTGTGTGGAGAAGAAAATTGGTCTGATTGATGATAGTTTTCATGAAATTTGTGGCGAAAAATTTGTTTTATTTTAATAGACTTTTTCTTATTTCTTGTGCAGAACTTTGACAAACACTTCAAAGTGCACAGTAGCACGCGTCACTTTATAGTATTTTTCTTTCCTTTTTAAATTTCATGAGGTTTTTGCAAATTCCTTCAGATAAGAATGATACCATTTAGCTTGGATAGAAATAAACCTGTTGATGGAATTCAATGTTTCTGTAATTATTAGAAAGAAAAATTAATTTTTCAATGCTACATTAATTCCAGAAATTTCTCAATGTTACGTTAATTCCAGAAATTTCTTAGGATTTCTTTTCCTAAGTTAAAGAGATTCAGAGTGTGGAAAAAGAAAACAGGTAAAATCTAAAAAAACATTTTATACATTTTCTATATAATTTCAGGTTGATTAAATATTTGAAATCTAGTGATTTATTTATAAGCTTCATTTTAGGATATGTTGAAGCAAAATGGTGGTGAGATATTGGGACCGTTGGAGATTGATGTCTCAGAAATGGCTACTACTACTATTGCATACGGCTGTGACTCCAAAAAATTGGAACGAGAAAGTCCTGAATCTTTGCGTCATAGGTGTCGTCCGTTTTGTTCTTAAATGGAAAAAAATTTCTAATTGATTCCATAAAAAAAGTGTCTTTCAGATTATTATATACTTTTATTAGCAATTCGTTCAGCGATAAGTTTCAATTTTCCAAGTTTGAATGTATTGATTGGTTAAATATAATTCATCGACTACTTTAGGTTCTTATTCATCAACTACTTTAGATCATGATTTTCACCTAATGTAAATCATATTTAACTCAGTCAGTTTTAGATTTAAACGTGTTAATAAATTAGAATTTGAAGGAAACTAATTTTACTGAAAAACTTCCAAAAAAGAAGCTAATTAAATGCATGTTAGAATGGCATTAAGTGATGGAGCGGTAATCGCAATGTCTTCGGGAGCAACACTGATATCAACCGCAACATCAAGTAGTGGTGTTGCTGATAGTTCCAATACCGTTTGTCCAGTTCAACTGAATCGCAAGAGTAAGGGAAAACCGGAGAATGTATGTCAGTTAATAACAACTGCTGGTCAAAAAACGTCGATCGGATCCAGAGCTCCGTATGAGTAAGTTTAGTATCCGCGTTTGTTATGAACCAAGTTAAAAGACGGAATTTTTCTTGGGCAAATATTCCAAATGGATTAGTAGCTGTATTAGTATTTCAGGAAAAAGCGAAATAGTAAGATAATCAGTCCAAGATATTAAGTTTATGGGAATAACTGATCAATATTGTTATCAATTTTGGAAAGGACTAGCATGTACTACTTTATCATTCTTTGTGATATTCCCATGGTGTAATGTTGTCCATTAACTGATTCATAAAAAATTTGATGGGTTTTAAGTTATTTTGTAGTTTAGGAAACCTGTAATAATAAACAGTGTAGTGAGTAGCCATTAAAATTGAAATTTATGTAAATTCAAGTCGCTTGAAACAGTTTTTTTTTTTTTTTTGAAAAGCTCAAAATTACAGGGCAAGTGAAAGAACATTACCGAAGGGCCGTTCGGTCAGTGTAACAACATTTGGAAATGTACATGATTGCAGTGGTGGTGGTTCTGGTAGCACAATCGCAAATGTAGCGATGTCCCTGAAACAATTCGCATCACAACTTCGGTCACCGCGATTTTATGAACCTGTCACAAATTTAAAATGTTTTGTACCATACACACCACCACCCATGTTGAGCCCAATGAGGCGAGGCTCGGGACTATTTTGGAAGATTTCGCAGAATTCATCACCATCAAAGGTATTTATTTATTATTATGCAGCACTCAGTTTTCTAGATGTATTGATTTTTTGTTGCGATAAACCTATGCATCTAATTTGAATATAAAATGTTTAATTCTTGAGTAACGAGGATGCAGATGGATTGTTAAAGCAAGATCTGATCTTCCTTCTTCACTACAAAGCTTTCCGGATTTTATTATCCCATTTGAAATATGTAGTTCACGTTTCTAATGTTGTCGTTTGTAGATTAGCATGCTGCAATCATCACAAGGAAATAATTTTGACAAAGCAGGAGGTGAGAATATTAAAGTGTCATTTTATATTGCCATATTGTAATTATCTAATTTATGATAAGGTGTTCTTGAAATATCACATTTTTTTTTATTTTTAACCTTTCCATTTTTGCTTTTTATCCAGAAATCGAGCACATTTGCATTTGCAGCTATTATTTCGATTTAGTGCTGTACAAAACAGAAATTGTTAAATTCAAACAAAGAACGGAAAACTTATAAAATTGTGCTATTTTTGGCTATATCATAACCACAAAACGAATCACTTCGCACAATCGAAGTGATGAACTATTATTATTTGTACAGAATGTTCTTCTCATTACGCCACCTAAGCCTTGCGAAGTTCATTGTCTAAAATGCGTTAGTAAATTCCATTTGGATATTACAGCTAGCGATAGTCGCCATGAAAGTGAAAGAGACGAGGAACCAATTGGGAAACGTTTACGACGTTGCATTAGATCAACATTACAACCGGTGAAGGAAGGTCCTGCAGATGAAGAGGAATCGGGAATTCGAACACCAATTCGGAAAAATGGACTATGCTATTCATCGCAGTTTTTCGATGTGTGTTTAGCTTTTTTCTACAAATTTCTAAAGACACAGTAGAAAATGAAATGCAGTTTATAATGTTTTTTTGTCCAAAGAGTTGGATTAGAAAACGAAACGCTAAAAATCATATATTGATTGTTTCAATTTACTAAAGCAATACTAGTTGTTCTAATGAACCTTTTTCATTTAAGAAATTGGATCCATTATTTATTGGATTTTTTTTTTGTTATCCTTCTTGTTTCATAAAAATCCGTATGAATTTGTTCACATGCAATTCTTTGTAGGCCAGACTACTACATTTGGAAGCCTTACGAAAAGAATCGATTATCCCCTGGAATAATTCTAACTCGTCGGGTATACCTTCTGGTGCAGCAAATTTACCCTCTCCGAAGTAAGCAACGACTTAGTTTCTCAAATTTTTCATTTTAGAAATGTATCCTTGTACAATATATTTATGGTAGAATTAAAGAATTCATTTTATATTTGATTTTCGGTTTATTCAAATATTACCTAACATAGTAAGTGGCTCCCATATTATAGCTGTAGAGTGAAAATATGTGAATAGACTGAAAAATCAACAAAAAATCCAAATATATATATATATATATATATGATATAGTTAGATATGATATAATCAGTTCTGGAAGATTATAAGGTACCTGTGATTTTAGTTTCATTTAGTTACAAATTTATGAAAAAATTTGCATTATTCGATTTCACTATCTATTGTTTGCTCAGTATGTTTATTATCTTTGCACCTTTTTATTATTATTGACCGTCGAAATAAATCATTTGGGCACATTTTCACAATAAATTTAATATGATAATGCTTGGTATTTGCTTTCAGGAAATTATCGATTTCATCCGATGGTGATGCTTTGAGAAAGACTTCGTCATGTTCCGATTTCGGCGAAGAAATTTGCGTTGCTCCAGAATCCGATGCTGTGCCGTAAGTCATGAATTAATTTTTAAATTATGTCAAGTTATATCATGTTTAACATTCAGGTTTTAAATTTCAAAATTTATTTGCAGTCTGCGAGTAGGTCTATTCTTGGATTATTTTATTACTTATAGACATATCAACTGTGGACGTGATTATCAAGTAAAGGTAAAAAAATGGGCTGATCGAGCGATAAGCGATGAAGAACGTGATGCTATACCAGATCGCGATGATGCCATTTTCGATTGTAACGTCATCGATCATCTGGATGATTCTGCTGGTATTTGTCTTTTAGTTTGTAATTTGTAATTCGGTTCTACTGTCTTTTAGTTTTGGAAGTTGTAAAGAAAGAGGATGCTTATTGAGTCAGTCGACAGTCTCATCTTCAGAATTTTCTTGGTATTTGTCCTTTTGTAGTAACAGTACAAAAACTGCTGACATTTTTTTTTTTCAGTTGAAGCTTATGAACTGTTAGCTTATAGCAAAGCGGTACCGCGACCAGGTAGGAACAGAGAATTGGCGCTACATTTATTAATGGAAAATAAGGTGCATATGCTTTGAATATTTTGAATATTTCTATGGAATTTTCATTATTGTTCAAGTTAATTATATATGCTTTTCCTCAATATTCTCAGTAATCCAGTTCTTCTCACCATTATCGATACCACATTTTTTCCTTCAAATATTAATATTTTTGTTCATATACTTCTTAAGGGGAATATTCAAGAAGCTGTTTTGGATTTAATGCGGTCAGATACACTAGACTGGAGTCAATATCCGATCATTTACAATTCCATATACACTGATACAAGTTCTTGGACGCCTGAGGAAATCAGTTTCTTCCAAGATGCCATTTACAAAGGCGAGAAAGATTTCCATCAAGTAGCATCAGATGTTAGTTTTACCTTATTAAATATACTGAGATTCCAAAAATATATTGGAATTTTTAACACATATATAATGCAAATTTGTTTTCATGAGACTGTCTCCAGAAAGTAGGTAAGTGCTGATGAATATATAACCAGTTCAAACTCAGAGTTATATAAATAGTAATTATGATATAGCAACATAACAACTATCGTAAATCTTATTGTTTTTTATAATTCTTCCATTTCTATGTCATATTTTTTCATATTTATTCTTATCATTCGTGCACATTGCAGTTAGGTAATAAAACAGTAAAGCAATGTGTGGAATTTTATTATATGTGGAAAAAAGCATGCCCTGATGACTATCGAAAACTAAGAAATTTGCGACGTAAACGTCAGTTGTTGGAAATTCAGCAACAGGTAATTTGTTTTTTAGATGCTATTTCGCGTTTACGCGTTTTTTAAAATGATATTTCCAAACACATCAAAATGTTTTATTTTTCATTCTCACTGCATTAACGTTCATCTATCAATTATCTGAACTAAAAACCTTGCAAATTTCAGTTTTATTTTTTGCTTAAAACTTTATTTAGCTCGATTTGATGGAAAGTTACAATCTGCGATCGAACAGTCGACCAGTCGAAAGTGGAGAATTGTCAGGTTCAGAAGAAGGAAGTGATCTATCTGCGATTTCTCATGATGCCGAGTAAATCTAAATCCTTTCTTTGGTTTTTTCATAATATAGTTATTACAAAATCTTAGACCTGTAAGTGGTATATTTTAAAGTTAAAAATTTGGTTCTGGAAAGTTGTTCATACTGCTAACAATCTACAACTCTAATAGCAATTAAAAGATATTACAGAATCAGTGAATGTGGGAAAATAGGAATGAAGCAATTTTGCGAGAAGTTGATGTCGATAAATTATTTTTGACTTGTATTTTTTACATTAATATATAATCTCCGGAAAATACTTTACTGATGAGAGATATACTGCAGACTTTTGGTTTTTAGCATGGTTTTGGAATTTTGATTTGATTTCAGTAAGATAAAAAGTGGACATTCGGATAGGAATATAAGTTGTTCGGCAATACCACGAAACTACTCAGTGGCAAGATTCGGAGAACTGCCGCATTCCACGGCCCCATCGTCCATGGTTATGGGAAATAATGATACATCTCGATCTTTCCCCCAGGTAACACGGCAGTACTTTTTTCATTAAATCTCACTGTTTCAGTGCATAGTCAACCAGGCACAAGTTAGTTATGTCAGAAAGTCATCAGACCGATTGGATAAGGTCTAGTCCAGTCAATCAAATCTGAGTTCTAAAATTTCCAGTAACCAAGCAGAATCTTTGAATTAAAGAACAGTATAATTTTCAAAGTTTTTGTAGGAAAAAAACACACTCCGGTATCAAGGCTTTGTTGATAGGCGGTTTTAGAAAAGTGCAACCTATCTCATTTTTGCATTGTATCTCTTATAAGCAGTTGTGAAGTGCAAGCTTAGTTTCTGTTCGCAATAATCGCAAAATCTTGGAGATCAGATGATGTATAAACAGTAGCGGACACGTAAAATATTTGGTCACATTCTTTTTCTTGCCAACCTTTCGTCGCTTTTTTTGCAGTTGCATCGAACACCTGTCAAAAAAGGTGCTCAACCGGCAGCTGATGGTTTCTTCCATTGCCGCCTTTGTGATAAATACTTCGAGAAGGTAAATTCATGTTTGTATAAAAAATTTGCGATTGTTTTGGATCTATCCTCGCATTAAGGAGATTCCAGTGGTAGAGTCGTCGAAAGTTAAGTCGTCGCATTAAAGTGATTCCAGTGGTTAGAGTTAAACTATAGAATTAAACCATACTTTGAGTATTGTAACCTTTTTTTTTTTTTTTTTTTTTTTTTGGTTTTCGTGATGGAATTTAAGACTTTTTTCTTTTCAGGTGAAAAGTTTGAATGCTCACATGAAATCTCATGCAATGAAAGCCCGAGCTGAGGCGGAAGCGACACAATCACAGCTCAATTTGCAACATCATGATAATAGCACTAAAATAACTAATGTCAACAACATTCTCGAGAAAACAATGTCAACAAAAAATTCGCCAATGACAGATTCAATGTCATTTGTCCATCATCATCAGAAAGAGCAACAACAAATCTTATTAAACACTGATCCACTGAAAGCCACTGTCGAGAGACCAACTATGCAAGTAACCAATAATTTTCCTGCTGTTTCAACTACAACAACTATTGTTGCTTCAGAACCGCACTCATTCGGTCCTGTTATTGGAAAATCAGGAAGTGGAGGAAGGCTTGGTCAGGATCTATTTGTGCAAACATCTTTGATACCCGAGCATCATCAGTTCACCCAGAATACCCTGATGTCTGGTTCATTGGGTCTAGCAGCTCATCAAGCTCTCAATCAGTCTCTTACTGCTGCCAGCGTTCTCAATCAATTCCCACAAGCACAAGCACTGCAGTTTTTGAACAATTTTCAAAACCCAGCCATAACTCATTGATTTGCAAATTTTCTGAGTTCTCATTTGTTAGCTCTGTAACTGATGGCTTTCGTTTCGTTTCTTATTTTGCTACTGGTCATTTTGCCTCTTTGATTGTTTAAATAGTCATGTAAAAATGTAATTCCCTTCAATTTCTCAAAGTTTTTCAGAATGAAAACAGGGTCGGATAACCCTGAACATTTTATTATAGGTGTAGATTAATATTCTCTAGAAAAGATCTTGTAAGAGGAGAATGAAAGTGGTATACTTCATGGAAATTCTGGTAATCCCGAAATACATTTCAATGTCCAAAAGAACGATGTAATCGATTATGTTGAAAAAAATTGATCATACAATAGTCAAGGCAAAATTTTCTAACCCAAATTTCGGACGAAAAAAAAAGTAAAAATAAAATTCTGCGCATAGCGAGAAACAAAAATCTTAGATATTTTTGAATCTGTTGTCACTAATAAGATCTCTTTCAGAGAGAATTAAAAATGAAATATTCATTGTACACATAATTTCCTTTCTTTGTTCAAAAAATTCTTAATTTCTTTTCTTAGTTTAATTCAACTTAGAATTATGAGAAATCTAAAAATTATACGACAAAAGTAAGATTTTATAGCACATAGTCTTCAATGGCAATATAAATCAATTCCGCAATCCAAGCAATGGGAATTTTCGAGGATGGCTGTTTGAAATTACTTTTCTACTTCTAAATAAGGTATTATTAACATTTACTAACTACATCTATGGTGGTCGTCAGAACTTATTAATTAACATGTATACCATATAAGGGAGAAAAGTTACACTATTAGTAGTAGGAGCACCCTGTGGAAGAAGCAGTCAACGGAAGGATCTGGTTTTCCTCAATTTGTTTTAACCAGCATAATAGCATCTGCCAAATACAATATGACTTTAATCCAAAGATGTTCGTTGGTCGATGACAAACTCGATGACACAAATATGCTATCTGTTTAGATTTTCAGAGACTAATTCGTCATGTTCATGTTCTTTTTTGAATTTGAATCGAAGTTTATAGAGCGATATCGATATATATCACAAATTCTTGTATTACCTAGTAAGATTTGTAATATCCGTTTAAAGTAAGTCTAGTCTGTGTAACCAGTTAATCCGCCTGACAGCGCCAATCGTTTTTTTTATACCATATTTTTGCTTTTTACGAATATTTGTTTTCTATAATATAGCAATGATTTTGATTTAGACAAGATATTTTTTACTTTTGCACAGCTGCTACTTTTCACTGTTCATAAATTAGACTGAAGTGTCCATGAGATACTAGCTGACTGCTTCCATCCAAACTTTTTGTTATTGTTTACCCTCCGTACATGCCTCCGTATTCCGAATATAAAGTACTGTCTGCATCAAGTTTTTGTTGAAATATTCTTCAATAGCATACTTCGGGTTCAAATTTATTGTAACAGTATCTCAGGTTTGACTGATATTGTTTACTCGCTAAAATCGGCTATTAGCACTTTTTCTATTAGATCACCTCATGACAGTGCGAATCCGAATACAATTGTTTCAAATATGGTTGAGAAAAGTACAAGAAAAAAGAGATATGTTTATAATAAGATAAAAAAGTATCATAATTTTCTGTTTAATAGTTTTTCTTGAAAGTTTCCTGATTCTTTTTTTTTAAAAAAAAGACTAGAATTTGCCATGTTCAGTACAAATTTTTACAATATTACTTCTGAAATGATTCTTCTAGTTGAATGAAGAGTATTATTTTCTCAGTACTTTATTAATTTGTGGAGAATTTAATGTAATAAATTTATGATATATGTATCAAGTCATCTATTCACCTTTTCCTATGCAAGTTTCCAGAAACTGTATTACCTCATCGTTATTGTTAATATCTTTATAATTCGAGCTTTCCAAAAAACTCAGAGCTTCTTTTCTTCTAATCAGTCCCATTTTCTTCATTCTTTTCCCCAGAATACAATCATTTTTTTAATTGTAATGGAAAGAACTAATATTTTACATAAAAATTTTTTCCCATTTTCTAACCAAATTAAACTCTTGACAATATTTCTGCGTGGTTTGTTTGTTTATTTTATTGTCGCTCCAATGAAATGTTTTTGTTAAAACGAGTGGGATCGTCGTCATACCAACCTTACATTAGTATATAATTCGTAAAAATATATCTTATTACCGGTTGGCATGAAGTTAGAACAAGTTTAAATAAATGAGAAATGAGATGAATGAAAACTTTGAATTGAACTACTTAAACAAATAATTGTCCGCGAAATCCATTTTGATTCCTAATTGAAGACTTTAAAATGACTATTAGTTTGGATATGAAGCTGCTTTTCTTTGAGCATCAATGATTTATTGTTATTTTCAAGCCGATACATATGAAAACATTGTTCCTTCCGTAATAATATTTTTTACCTGAACTAGCCATGCACTCAAATGAGCATTCAATAGCTTAACTAAGTTTATTAATAATTCTGAATAAATTTGCATAAGTTATATATTATATTTTAGTATATAATATAGTAATATGTAGTAACAATATAATATTAATATAACAATGATATTAATATAATATAATATAATATAATATAATATAATATAATATAATATAATATAATATAATATAATATAATATAATATAATATAATATAATATAATAATAATATAATATAATATAATAATTGGTATAATATAATAATATAATTATTAATATAATATTAATATATAATATATTAATATAATAATAATGATAATAATAAGTAACATAGTATAATACATCATAGTACAGTGCATAATACAATGTTAGTATAATACATAATATAATATATGATATTTAACTGTAATATAATAATATAATATAATATAATATAATATAATATATAACAACATATTATATTATATTGTATAAATTATAATGATTCATAACACAATAATGTACAACGTAATATAATACACAATAATATAATATATAACATATAATAGATAATATATATAATACTATATTATATAATTTCTAATATAATACTATTATGTAATAAATAATATTATATATATATATATATATATATATATATTATGTTTACTATTAGATTACATTATATTATTAGATTATATCATGTATATTATATAATATATATCACATAGTGTATACTTTATATCAATATATTATATTACGTTGTATTATTATATTATATATATATTACACCGTATTAATATTAATATTACTACTACTATTATATTATATATTATATATTATTACACCATATTATATTATGTCATTATTTTATATATTATTACATTAATATTATATTATATTATATCATATTATATTATATTATATTATATTATATTATATTATATTATATTATGTTATATTATATTATATTATATTATATTATATTATATTATATTATATTATATTATATTATATTATATTATATTATATTATATTATATTATATTATATTATATTATATTATATTATATATTATATTATACTATAACATAATATTCTTATATTATATTATAATAATATTATCGTATTATTATTACATTATATTAATTATTTTATTTCATATTATAGTATATATTATATCACATCTGCTACATTTCAACCACTGCAAAGCCTCTGACTGTGGGAAAAAGCTGATTGCTCCTCAGTTTCATTTTGTACTATTTTCTAATTATAAATGTATTATAACTTCATCTTGATTAATAACAATTTGATATTGTTATTTTTTAGAATCTATACGCCAATTGCATACGTTTCTGATTTTATTTGATTTTACATCAGATCTATCAAATATTATGCAATTTACATGAAAATTTTACAGATATGTGGTGTTATCTACAATTTACATCGTCGAGAATAATCGTCAAAAAAAGATTGAAGTTTGTTGAAGTTTTTGGAGGAATAAGTGTCCTGAAAAATGAAGAATTCAGATATTTAAATAATAAATGCAATTTTGGAATCATTTCACTATATCTGTTAAGTTAAACCAAATATATTACATAGGGGATAGGGAAGGGTAAACGTTTTTGGAAAACTTTGCATACTGATGGATCTCCAGTGATGGCAATAATTTGGTTCGTGTCAGGCGGTATATTCTCATCCTCTATAGATACCGCTTTCAGCTCTATGCCTTTATTACGGGCTGTTCGACTTGCTTCAGTTGGATTATCCTAGAAAATGCGCATAAATTATTCATTAAAAATTATGCAATTGAGAGCAACAGGATTTAAAAAAAGAACTGGGAGCAATGAAGAAACTAGTTAATGGTAATCGGTGATAGTATATTAAAGTGACTAAGTCAAGAAATGTGCTTTAGGATATAGCAAACTAGAGAAGATGGAGAGTAAGAAACCAAGATAGAAAGTAAAGTCGTATCAACACCTGTGAATGTCCATCTGTGAAAATAATTATCATTTTCCTAGCATCTTTCCTTGCACCAAATTTCTCATTAAATTCATTGGTTGCGTAATAAATAGCTTCACCAGTACGTGTTGTACCACCATTTGATGGTGCTCGTTGCAAATCTTTGATGGCATTTTCTGCCCTGCTATGTTTACGTAAATGAAAAAGAGTACGTGCTCGTTTGGGACCGGAATAATATATTGCTGCCACCTTAAAAACGATTAGGTTCTTGTTTCTCAGTATTTTCTCAACTTTCGGTCATAGCAAGTTTGTCCCTCAAATGTCCAATCATAAAACTTTTCAAAATATTGAAGTATTATTTACTATGGAGTGCAAGCCAAGATTAAAAATTGTCCTTTTTTAAAAAATTTTGATGTAATTTTTCATAGTTCAGATTCTCAAGTTTATCAAGCATTAAATGGTTGGGTTAAAACTTTGGCTAATTTTAATGAAAAACATACATGTACAGCTGTTCGGTTAAGGTCTAAGGATCTGATGAGAATTGATACATAATCAATGTAAATATCGCGCTTATCTGACACTCCGCCAGAAAAATCCATCAAAAATACAACGTCAAATAAACATCCTGTATGTAATGTTTTCCACAGCAATGTTTATTTTGCATGAAATTTATTAAGTAATGTTTACTGCCGTTGCTTTATAGAGAAAAATAGTCATGTTTCTCATCATTTGTAAACTACTTCCTAGTGGATCAAATCAATGGAAGTGAAAGGTTGGGAAATTGAATTAGTTTCAATAGAAATAATTCTGGAAAAACCTGGTTTGATATTGACTACATCTTTATTTGATGTAATAGACATTATTGCTGGAGAAGAAACATTAGCAGTTCTGACAGAAGATGCATTAACGAAATGAATTGGTCGAAAAGCAAATTCAGAAAGAGTATCACCTTTCGGTCTCAAATCTTGAAAATGTTTTTTAGTTTTGGGAACATTTCTTTGCCTGCAAAGAAAGAATAATGCATGTCGAAGAGGAAAGGAGTAAATATGAGCTGGATCAATAAAACAAAATGATTTGTAAATAAACAACAGAAATGGAGCAGTCAACTAGAGTAACTTTAGGGAGGAAACGAATTGTCTTATTACTGATAGCAGCGACTAAATAAATATATGATACTGATTTGTAAGTTGCAACTTACCCATTTATTCGATGTTTGGTGATAGCTGTCGCTAATGAAGTTACGTTTTTTTTAATGAAGGAACTTTTCAAACCAAAGCACTCACTATACGGTCTCAGAATATTCCGGGAGTTATTTAGGAAATTTGTATTTATTATAATATGTGATGTGTCATTGTTAACAAGAAGTAATAAGCCTTGTCTGAAATTATTATTAAAAATTGAATCAAAGATAGTCTCATATAACCGACACTTTCTTTTCATTATTAAGATTATATTTGTTGATATGACTTTAAATCTTCTTATTTTAAAACATCTGTCGGCTAGAATTGCAAACTGTAAATTGAAGCCATTGAAAATAAAGTATAGGTAATTTACATGTTATGCAGCCTTGAAGCAGTTGCAACAAAAAGTTGAACATTTGGTTTAGCAACGAGATTTGCAACGTTTTGCTTCACTTCTTCAGAATCTCTGCAAACATGAATATGTTTTGTTTTATTTTTGTTTAATTCTCGTCTACCTTACATTATTTTAATAATGCACATTTTAAGAAATGCATGAAAACTAAAACTTAGCTTCTTAAAAAGTCCAAAAAATATCTCTGCTAGAAAACTTTTAACAAAACAAGCCCTAGAATTTAAGAATTCTGGCTATTAATTATTATTAATTTTTGTACATCTTTTCTGCCCCATACATTGATCCCTTCATTGATCACAGTAAGATATTGATTAAGAAATCATTCAGTGACTGAAGAAAGAATAAGTAGAATAGAAAAAATGACTCAATTGCTCTTAATTAAAATAAAAGTTTTCAAAAAAGAATTAATTAAACGGCAATTTCCTTGAATGTTTTCATCCCCATAAATCTAATTTTTTTTATTGAAAAGGCTGGTAATTTATTTCATTTTGTGATTTATTTGGATGTATTTAGCGATCTCATTTTACTGGATGCAATGAAATGGATAGATAGTAAATTTCGCAAAAAATTGAAAACAGATTCATTTAATTGTTTAAAGCAGAAAGCTTGATTTAGTCAGGTTAAAATACAGGCATTAAAATTTCATAGAACTGATCATGCAAGCTAGTATAAGTCTGCATTTTTTTTCTTCGGTTTCTTCTACTTATTACTTAACGATAGTTCTTGTATTGTGACTTCATAGGGTCTCAAACATATATATTATTCAAATTCTTGCATTTAATGTTATAGTGCCAGTGATTAATGATATCACCTGTAGTAGCCATCAGTGATTATAAATACTAGTAGTAACAAGCCAGGTCGGTGTTGAGGGAAAAACTCTTGAAGTACGATACCGAGAGCTCGCCCCGTATCTGTTGTTCCATGAATGTGAGGTAAGTTCTGGATCACTTCTTCCATATCATTGTTTGTCTGCAGTTTTAAAATAAGAACAATTAAAAAAGTGAAATTTAGCTGAAACTGTCAGATAAAGGCTCCATTTTGAGGAAAAAGTGATCTTCATAAAAACACATTTTCCGACTTATTACCTTAATTCGGTCGAAAGGATATCGTAACCATTTGGAGAGGATTGTTTTGCTACTAAATTCCAAAATCGCTATCCGATGTTCCTTTTTATCGATATCAAACTGTTTTGCTATATCACTGGCCATATTAGTCATTTGCTGAACAATTTTCCAAAAAATCTCCATATCAATTTCTCAGTTATAAGTTTTTTAATTCAATTTTTTATGAAACTATTAGTGTAACAGTAGAAAAGGTGTTAGCTGTTATTGAGAAAGAAGAGATCACTTATGTATCTTAATATTTCTTTCTGAAAACTTTAAAGCAGAAGAATACCATATTAATCCGTTTTTATCCATGTTTGTAAAACATATTACCTAATTTTTACATATTCTTGTTTTTTAAACTTGAAATTCCAATCAAATTCGTGCAAATTGTTATCCAAAGAATTTACAAAACCTTGAACTGTTGTTTGACACTTCCAGAACCATCCAGAACAAAAATTATATCGGCACACGGTTTGGAATACTCGATTGCTTGCAATAGAAAAATAAACCAAAAGCACTGTGCTGATGACATCGTCATCTATACGCACCGTTCAATGACAAATTATTTTTTTCCTTGATTGATAGAATAATAATAAAAAGAAATCTGGAAAGATTTACTTTCTCGAAAAGAATGAATATCCGTTAGAAATAATTTGCAATACATATCATAACAGCCAACCCTTGCTATTATTATGACATTTATGGTAGTACGAAGTGTAAATCATATCACCACGGATTTTGCAAAGAATAAATTTGGATCATCGCTTATATTATATTCTTAAAAATAAGACTTTACCAAACATTCCGAAATCCAAGAAAAATTGATGAATACCATCTCAACTATCACGACCCGCACTATATCTAGTTTCCGCTTCGTCCTTCCGCCTTCTTCCTCCTTTGAATATTAAGACAGTGAAAGGAAAAAGTAAATGAAAAGAAAAAATCGTCAATTTCCTGTTTTCAAGTAAATTCCCGCACTACTATTCGCTTTTTCCTTGATATATCTAAATCCAAAGTCTTTATCAGTGACATTTTCCCATATTTTCCATCTCCTTTCCAGTATCACATTATTACTGACATCCTTTTCATCCTTTCACTTCACCATTTTATCAATTTAAAAGCTGTTTTTTTCGGCATTCTTTAATATCTCAGGATTACTAAAAAAAACTTCAGAAATCCTTTTTTATGCTATTCAACTGAAGATGTATCGTATTTCTTGCATTTGGTTGGTTGCATCTGTTAAATTTGCAAATCTTTTCTAATCACAACAAAATGGACATTTCAAAAACCTGGAATTTGGGACTGGTGAAATCCCCCCAAGAGAAATGAGGCAACTGGAATTGGAGCCATCGTTGCAGCTTTGTAGATTAGTAATTTAATTTTTTATAAATCCTGTTGCGTCTAAAAACTTCCAACCAGTCGTAAGCATGCCCGAACCCTCCACTAAACTAAAAGTGAACTTTCAGTTATTAAAATAAGACTAAACAAAATAACAGACCAAAAACGCTGGTATATAATATACTATAATCCATTTAATGGAATTATTTTTTCAAAAACTAACATAGTGGTATATACTTAACAATGTTACTATTACTATTGAACTGATATGATGCATTTGAGTTCGTATATGTCATGAATTTCTCGTAATTACTCAGTATATCAGCGAAAAAAAGAACTTATCGGTTGTAAAGAAACACTGAATGTAACATCATAAACTTTCTGCAAAAATCAGCAGAGGATTATGCACAAGAGCTTTTAATAGTACTACTGATTAAACTTATGAGACTTCAGCATACAATCAATGGCGGTTAGCATTTGGAAAACATGCGTACAATTATATAAAAAAATTTACTTCAGCTAGACAGAAATTTTAATATGAATTTATAAGTTGGGAAAACGAAACTCCATAAAAACAAATTTCAAATAAACCATTCTTTATGAAAGCGATGATATTGCGAAACTATGTGATGAAATAACGATAATAATTTTAATGGATTCATGCCACAATGATAACATTGTTTTTAGTGACCACAAAGTAGGAAAGAAATTGACATGTAAATACTTTTCGCAAGAACTGCAACTGGTTTTTATAATCATGGATCAGTAACATGCTTAAAAGTAAACAATAATTAAAAATTCGTTTTCGCATTATAAGAATGGAAAAGGATGATAAGACAGAAAAAAAGGATTGAAAGAGTTCTTCATGAACCGTCTACTGAATACAGCATTTCTAAACGATAAAATATGTGATATGTGACTTGAAAAAAGTCATAATTCTCACCAAATCACAATGTAAAAACTCTCCAGAAAGCTTTAAAAGACTACTGAATTTGATTAGGAAGACAGTAGAACTTATAAGCAGTTAAAAACCAGCTACTAGCCACTCCAACAACCGCCCCTCCAGTGTTTTCGGAATTAAAATATGACAAGATAAACTCACCTCCAAAACAGCCATCTCATGAGTTCTTTTTTTATCTCTAATAATAGAAGTTAAATAAACACTTAATTAGCTGACAGTATCGAGTCTCGACAACAGGAAAAACTAAGGAAAATTCCGAAAAAAAGCAAACCAATCAGGAAGAAAAGTAAAAACAAATACAAAAACTCACATCACAGCTGAATTAATGTAAGAAGAAATGTCTTTTTAACGAAAACAGTAGAAACTGAAAAGTAGCTCGAAGAAAAAGGAAAATAAAAATAATATTCTGGACGAAAAGTTGAAAAATGTATCTTTTGATTGTTTAAAAGATATATGGAATAGATAATAGTCATCGCTGAAAGAAGAAATGTATTTCAACTTTCAGCAACAGCCGCCACTCTTCTTTTCATTCACAGGTTGAGATCCCCCTATGCGCACTGATGGGCCTGTACCAACTTGTTGGATTGGACCCATTCGATTCTTTATTTCAGATGCCATTGTTAAAAAGGCCTAAAATTGATTGATAGTATTATTTGTAATAACAAATGATGTGAAAATACAGCACGAGTAACAAAACTGTGAAAAGAAAAATTGAAAAGTAACGGTCTTTTTATCCAAAAATTAAGGAGAAATTTCTAACAGTAGTTTAGAGTTTTCAAATGTTCCTATCTACATTAGTAGAAAATCTATATACCGAAAATTCAAAATCAGGTATTAATGATGCATGGTTTCAACTCATTTCAAAAGTCAAAACTGTAAAACTGGAAAAATATCACTCTCTTCCACGCTTGATTCCAAAACAAAAAAAAAAAAAAACTAAACTGTCAATCGGTTTTGACAAGTAAGTATGATCGACATTATTAACTGACTTCTTATAGATCACTCTATTTCACATAAATGAATACTTCACATAACTCAGCGTAATCAGTATGTAGTAAATAAGATGAAAAGAAATTAGCCTACCTGTTCAACATTCGTTGATGATTTAGCGGATGTTTCCAAAAACGGAATTCCCAATTGATCAGCATATTCCTACAATAAAATCAAATCTCGACTTCCCTTATTGAAGTGCAAATCAATTATATGAAAATACACAGTCATTACTTTTGAAAAATGCATATAAAAAATCATAATTAGTTTTGCAAATCTCACACAGCATACGATACGTTTCCATTCCTCCATTTTTTTTGCTTTCGTCTGCACTTCTTTTAAACTCTACCTAACCAATGCCTGCTAATCAACCTTTCTAGGCTCACAAGCGCTTTTGATACAATTATTACTAATTTTACACAATTAATAATACAATTGATTATACTTCATATATTTTTGAATAAGCAGAACCTAAAGCCTTTTGAGTTAAAAAGGCAGAAAGCCTTTTGAGTTGGAACAGTTACAGAAAAGCTTGGAATGTAGTAAGCAACAGAAAAAATGCAGCTCGATAATTCCCAATTCGGATAAATTGCGATTTTAATTAAAGGAAACGTTATTTTTGCGCATTTTTTATAGCTCCGCAAAACAGTCATCTTGTTTGTATTATTAATAAATAAAATATCTTATTCAATGTTTTTAAGAGTAATATTTCTTTTCCATTCACAAACAGTCCAAAAAAAACTTTTAAAACTGACTTTAATATATTTTCGTCACAAAAGAGTCTTAGGAAATTGGGGTATTAAAATAAACATAAAAAAAGTTTTCATCGATCTTATTTTAGACATGTCTGTATATATCGGACAATTGGACTTTTCATCAACAGTTAGAATTTCATGCAGTAAACATCAACTGTTGAAAGACTATAGCATATCACCAGTTGAAATATATTGAATTTTTTCAAACATTGCATAATGCTAACGTAGCAATTTGATCTAATGAGCTAGTCAAAGCAAATAAGCAGTTTTTAGAATTTCAAAAACGTACATGTTTTGTAATTAAAATTCAAGATTTTGTGAAAATATTTAACGCTCTCTACAAGAGAGTAAAGCTTTTAATTTCGAAATATTTTACATGTACCCCTTTCAATGATGTTCGAAGCAACCTGGAATTTTTCCAAATGCTAAGAATAAATGTATTAAGCAATAACTTATGCACTTTGTTCAAAAGGGGAAAAATGTTCTAAAACAATAAGAAACTTGAATATTAAATATATGCCAACATAGAATTCTAGTGCTACAAAAAAAGTTGTTATCAGCAATAATTACAAATGAATAGTCGAAAATAGACAAAAGTCAAAAAACCTACCACCTTGAAATAAATTTAAATTAGAACAAATTACTGTATATATATATATCTTATATTAGCACCTGAATGTCAAATATGCTGTATTTGAGGTATAACGATTCATTTTTTTTAGCTTTTTTTTTAGCTAGTCAGTTTCTTCAACAGTATTTTTCGTGAAATGTCAAAAGAAAACGAGAAACCTTAGCAGCGCTATGCTCGACCGCCCTTCTGATTATTAAATCACACTTATTCCCAACAAGCAATTTATTGACATTCTCGCATGCATACCGATCAATCTCTTGTAACCACTGTTTGACATTATTGAATGACTCCTGTAATAAATGTGTATAGAAAGCTCATTCACAGATCATCTCATTAAAACGTCTTTATCACAGGTCTTCGCTTCCAACGATAGCAGTAGGGATGAAAGTGGACGTTTAATTTGTAAAAAGATAAATTTAAACAACCGATCATTTGTGCTGGGTTATTTTCTGAATCTAAAAGAACTTTAAAATAAACATTGAATAAAGCAACCTGATCGGTAATGTCATATACAACGATGATACCGTGAGCGCCTCTATAATAACTGGAGGTAATTGTACGGAATCGTTCTTGTCCTGCTGTATCCCACTGTAAACTGTGCCATATATTTATGAGCTTTCTAGGTTTAGTTACTGGAACTCATATTTTCATCAGGAGAGATTAACCAACTCAAACAAAATTTTGAGGAAGGCGTTTTGTTGGGATCAGACACTGAGATGAAATATCATTCATACCAATATATATTGAGATGCCACTGCACGAATTTTCGGTGAATTGGTTATGAATTCAATAGAGTGAAATACTTACAATTTGTAGTTTGATGGTTTTCCCATTCAAATCGATAGTGCGAATTTTCTGCAAAAAATTTTTAATATAAACTTCAAATATTTGAAACACTTCGTGCATGCATTTTTTTCTTTGCAACTTGCTGAAAAAAACTACAGTTCAGAATTTTCAACACAGAAAAGAAATTAAAAAGTAACAACACACACAAAAAAAAAGAAAAAGTATATCACTGTGTTACAGAAGTTTTTTTGAGAAAAGAGCATTGAAGAACTCTAGTTATGAAATTCACTTCATATAGAACAAATGCAAAAGGTATAGAAAACTAAAACCAGTTTTTTCAAATGTAAACACGATGGCTTTCCTTCAAAACTCTTTCGGTCAACATATGTTCTTATTACATTTAATTGTGAATAGAATTTAGATCCAACAAAGGTATTATTCTTCAACGATGTCATCAGAACGGATGTCCAACTCGCAGTTATAAACAAAAAAGCATTATATCAATATCCCTGGACGTATATCAAATTTTCTTGCACTATAAAATAAAATTTTATATTTTGAAGAATGTAACTCTTCACTGCAAACGATGCCAATAGGAGCACGATACAACAAATTAGTAACAGCAAAATATACTACAAGTAACCATGCTACACAGAATTTAAAATGCCAAAATTATTTATGACTGCTAGACCTACTCCTGCTCACGCCATAATAAACAAATAATCATGTTATCTTCATTCTTACCTTCACATCGGGACAAGGAACCTAATTTCCTTAAACCAAATAAGAAATCCTTCATTTCTTATTGCAGTGTTTTCTTTCCATTTTCTTTTTCTATTTTTCATTTTCATTACTTCATGGGCTACAGGTAAACCAATTATCTCAACCAGTGATTCAAACGTTGTTAAAAAATAGGAAAGTTGAATGAATCTAACCAAAATTACCAGGTCAATTTGGAAATAGAGTATTTGTATCGCTCCAACTAAACTAAATGACCGATTATTGGTCAAATTTTGCAAAGGAATTACTTTCATTACAATTGGCGAGAGTGTATCACTGAAATCAGTGAGAGACAATGTGGCCTAAATCACTTCAAGTAAATAATAACTAACGAAATCCACTCCTATAGTTGAAATGTATGATTCGGTATAAGTATCATCAGCAAATCTGAGCAATAAACATGACTTTCCAACACCAGAATCACCAATCAGCAGAAGTTTGAACAGATAGTCACTGAAAATTATAATCCTCACATTACTGATGTTAATCCTTCTCAATTTATAGAAAGCTTATATGTAAAATACTTGCTCATGATCAAACTTGACGTTCTCATTAAAAAACATGAGTGCCAATACAACTAACTTATCACATTTAATTATGAACTGCATTACTGTGCTTTATAATGTCAAATTAATTTGTAAACAGAGATGTCCAAAACTTACTATTCCGGATTGATCGAAACCATGATTTCACACTTAACAAAGTATCTTGTCCCTTTGGAATAAGTGTGTCTGAAAAGATAAAAGTATAAAAGTGACGTTCATAGCGAATAATTCGACGGTTTCCTCGAAAAATCTTTTATGCAACTTAGTTTTTGAATATTCTTAACATAAAGGCAGAGATGGCTAACAATATTTAAATATCGCATAAGAAAATTTGCGCTCCAGAATCAAAATTTAGTGCTCTAGAATGATAATCCAAGAATATAATTTTATCTGCTATATCAGTGCACCATAGAGAACTAATAATTAATAGTGCTTGGCCAGCCAATCAAATTCAAGTAATATTTGAACATTTGGTGCAGTAAATTCCTAATTGTTGAAAAATATGATGACAAGAAAGTCGATTTCGAATCATAATAAGAATGAAAATTAGAACATCGAACTAATAACTGAACAAATTGGCAGACATACAAGAGTGAATAAGTTATAAATTAATGCTTTTCAAGTACTTCTTGAACTATTAAACACCTAATCAGACTACTCTTATTTTTAGCTGAGCCAAATGATAAAGAACAGGTATTTTTACTATTCCAAATGGTACGCATAATTTCCCTCCGCATAATTGTGGTGCGATTGATCCCATCATCTTTTTACGCTGTACTTAATCATCTCCGAAAGTTCAGTACTGCCGGTAACAAATAATTAGTGACCTTTAAAAAAAAGACTTGGTGATCCTGGGTCAATTCTGTATTGGACAATCTCTTATTCTAGCAACTGAAGGGCAAAGAAAATAAAAAGGACTGATGATATTTCACTGTTTAGCAAATTTAGCTATTTTCATAAATCATTCAGAGAGGATTAATTCTCTCTACTCTGAGCATGACAAATAAAAAAAGCTGTATAAATACAAGATATATAAGAAACTTGCTTACAAATATAAGAAACTTGCCACTAAGCAGGACAGATTCTAATTAGGGGTAGAACAGAATACTTTGACGATTGGTGATGGCAAACTTGATGAAAAAAGGCCATAGTTGATACACTTAATTGATATACAAATGACTTACCGTTACAATATCTGTTTTAGTCAAGTGCTATATGTAGAGAATGTTATTTACCTTTTGTAATATTGGCTCAAACATACTAAAATTACAAGAAGCTAGAAGAAAGAAACAATTTATTCTTAATTCCATACACAAAACAGATTACCACTTGAGAGAAAGTCGAGACTGTCAATTTCATAAAGTGTATTTCGTCTTAAGCATCAAAAAGACTTCCTTACCCCACACACCCCTATTACACGCAATACGCAACACGTCTACATCACACAACTTACCAATCTACGTCATCTACACTATCGCTACGCGACAGTTTATACTTCGCGTTATGCAACTTCTGCGTTTCACAGCGTTGATGACAAAAATGAGATGCTGTTTGCATTGCCTTACCGAGCACTCTGTCTCTTGTAAAGCATTTAAGCCATATTTCATGACAAAAAGTAGGGTAACAGATAGTAATTCAAATATTTTCAGATCTATAAATGATCAATTTGTGAAACAAATTCACCCACAACTTATTTACTTTCGAAAGTAGTCCTTATCATTTTATCAGGAAATTGTACGTGGGGCTATCAGAGTAATAATTTGCAAATAATTCATTAAAATCCATTTAGGAAATAGTCAATCTTTACCCAATACTGACATTGCATGTGTGTTATTTGTATCCTATATATTTCTAATTTCATTTAGAAACCGATCTTTCGTATTACAATAATCTGTAAATACAATATTTCCTTAATGATAATTTAGCAGTATTATTCATATCTTGCAAATCTGCATAGCAATTACAATCAGCAGAGAAAAAATGATGTTTGTGATATGTGAAATGAGATAGCTTAAGATAGGAAGTGTTCTAAGATCCCGAATTCCATCAGGTTTAGATCAGTGAAGTGTCTTTCGAACAATTTTGGTTATCCAAAATTTCCATGTGGTATGTAGTGAAACAATACATAGTAACAAATTCCAAGTATTTTATTATTTCTCAGATATTCTGCCAATATTTATTGTAATATCAGATATTACCTAGTTGTGCAGGATCTGGTGACCTGAATAAAATCTTGTTCTTAATAGCCATTGTGCTATTTTTGCTGCAAATTCAAAAGCCTTTTGACAGATGATGAACATACAATACCAATTTACTAATTCTTGCTATTAAGATGAAGCCAGTAGCCGATGTATATATTCTTTGTCCACTTCCTTAAGGGAAGTCCCTTAATGGTCCAAGTGTGAAATCAGATGCTAATGTTCAAACATTCGTCACGTAAAAAAAGATACATTAAAATTAAAGAAAAAACTTTCCTATATTACTGCAAGTACCCAACCAATTATGGTCATCCACAAGATATTTACTGACATAGAAACTACCTGAAAAAACGCGGTGACAATGATACGAACAATTTAGTATAACCGATGGTGACAAAGAAATCTCTGACAAGACTTGATGTCATCCCAAAATAATGCATGAAAACAATTGCCAACTTTTCTCCCATATTTTATTCATTCAAACATCAAACGCATGAAATTCCGGTGATGCAAATTAGGCAGGAACAATACTTGAAAAAAGTGACGATAAACAGAAACAGTAACTGCATGCGTAATATAGAATAAGTTACGCAATTTTTTTCCTAGTGGAATATTAAAGAAGTGGAAAAAGAAGGAATTTAAAAAATATACTGCCCATATATATTTGGTTGAATTCATATAAATACCCTAAACATCAGCACTGATGATAAACTATTACAGAAAATGTTTCCTAAGTGTTTCTCATGAAATTGATTTGCAGTCACCTTCTATCCTTATTTATAATCCAATATGATTTACATACCGTACAACTAAGAAAAAACATTGGAACTTCTTTTTTCAAAAAATCATTCAGTCTACAAACGAATTTAGTATTTCATAGCTGTAAAGTGATTAAAAGTTTTAGTTTTTCAAATTCCAGAGAAAAGTGGAACAAACAAACACAAAAACCCTCAAATCATAACATGTAAAAGCACGAGTTCCACTTCCAGCAGAGGAAAAAAAAAATATGTCCGGGAATTTCAATTAAACTGACTGTTGTTGAATAAATACAAGAAATTCCATTTCTTTTCTTCCATCTACTCCTAAGAGAATTCATAAAATTGTAGTTTCAAAAAGCGACATATGTCCTGATGAATGGTTCATCCGGCTTTTTTGGTCTAGAAATGTAAATTTTGGGATGTTCCAGTGCTAAAAAAAATATTTCAAAGACCCAAAGCTCGGCATATCACAAGTTACCTGAATGATAGACACAGAATAGCTAAACCCGCAAAATCTGATGTCATTTAGAAAAAGAAGTTGGAAAGAAACATTTCGTGAGAAACGAATTTCAACTGTAAACCAGTCCGGTTAACAGAATATGTAATCCAGAGGCATGTGTTGTGAACAAAGAACTTCGAGAGAAGTTCTTTACAAAGAGAAAATAGTGCATAAGACATCGGAGAATTTTCTGGATTGGAAAAAATTTCAGCTTTCGCGTAAAACCTTGAAGAATGATCGATACAGTTAGCTAAACAAAAGAAAGCATATTGATGAGAATTCAGATACGGAAGGAATCGCTATTTTAAATGATAAACTAACTTTTAAAAACACTAAGCCTTCAAAGTACTAAGAATGCACGAGATGCATTGACACGTGGTAAACACCTGTCATAAAAGAATCAATGTGTTACAGCCAGAAATCAGAAGAATAAAACCGGAACAGGAGAGATAAGTGAAAAAAAAAAAAAACCGAAATTCATGGAATGTGTTCATTCCGACACGTTTGGAAAACAAATATTTTTTTTATTGGACTAAAAAAGAAATCTTTTATTTTAGCTACTGATTGATCTATCGACCTGAAACATAAAACGGACAAATAAAATATGTATCAGAGTTGCAAAGGGGACATCTCGAAGTCAATTTTCAAATAAATAAATACTACACTGGAATGAATGTAATTTAGCGTATAGTAGAATATTTAAACTTTGTACATATTCCTCCACACAAGTGATAAAGTGCAATTCTTTAAAACAGAAAAACCTTCTCTTTAGATGCTACCTGACTTCGAATTATTTTACTTTACTTATACCTTCTTTAGCGTTATCTCCAGCCTCTTTCCCAACAGCTCGAAGATACAGTAAAAATAAAAATATGCTTAAAATGGAAAATGAAACATAGAAACGAGACTAGAGATTCTGATGGATGATAAAAGCAGATCCATAAAATAGTAGATAAGGAAGGTTAGATGAAAAAAGTGTGCAGCATGTTGGTCACAGAAAGATGGTGATGATATGACAAGCCAGTTAACAACCGCTAAAAGATCCTAAGGAAAAGGTGCCATTATATGTATATCTGTAGTGAAACTACCTAAGTTCACTGAGGATAAATCATTCCAATATCGAATAACTGCTCTTAAGAAGAGTTATTCGATAAGAGAAGAAAGAGAATGTGATAAAGAAGTTGAAATACTGCAACAACAGCAACAGTGTTCCATTTTCTGGTCTTGAAACCGAAACTTCTAATTCCGGCAAGATAGAAGGTACAAAATTAAAACCCCACAGTATTTGAGATTGTACTTACCTACAGAATTTCATTGAACAAATAACTTATTCACTTGCTAGAAAAAGTGGTGACAGTGTAGTCATGTAGCAGAGAAATAGTTGAAATATATTGAAGCAATGACACAGATCCGGAAATCATTTTAGACCTCAATGTAAAACCATTGCAAAAGCCACGACAATTACGATCGAAATGATCGTTTTCATAATGATAAGACAGAATGTATCGAAATTTCAGTCACTGAAGATGATAAGCTGTACTGCTGTCTGCTTCTTGACCTCTGCAGATGAAAACCCGAATATAACACAGGCGGAGATGAAAATTTACTTTATCCAAATAAGAAGAGGAAGAGATATTAGACCGAGAAAAAAGTGAAACTACAAGACACAAAATGAAGGAAGAATA